ACAAGTATCAAATATCACAGGTGTTATACAGAGTGGACGACAAGTATCAAATATCACAGGTGTTATACAGAGTGGACGACAAGTATCAAATATCACAGGTGTTATACAGAGTGGACGACAAGTATCAAATATCACTGGTGTTAACAGAGCAGATGACAAAAAACAGATATCACAACTACATTGGTTCACATGTCAGATGGTGAATGCACCTACATTGGTTCACATGTCAGAGGTGTCTGCACCTACATTGGTTCACATGTCAGATGGTGCCTGCACCTACATTGGTTCACATGTCAGATGGTGCCTTTACCTACAATGGTTAACATGTCAGATGGTGCTTGCACCTACATTGGTTCACATGTCAGATGGTGCCTGCACCTACATTGGTTCACATGTCAGATGGTGCCTGCACCTACATTGGTTCACATGTCAGATGGTGCCTGCACCTACTTTGGTTCACATGTCAGAGGGTGCCTGCACTTACATTGGTTCTCATGTCAGATGGTGCCTGCACCTACATTGGTTCACATGTCAGATGGTGCTTGCACCTACATTGGTTCACAAGTCAGGTGGTGCAGTGGTAAATCACTTGTTTTACATAAACATATGGGATGGGATTCTCTGAACGAACATGAAAAGGTAAGGGGTCGTCTGCTTGACCAGATGGGTATTCCTCTGATGATCTCATTTTCTCCCACAGTAAAAGCCCTTGCACACTTTCATTCCGGCCGACAAGAGTAATTAAGTTGGCTAACTTGTTTTTAACAATTGTTGTAAAATAAATACTGTTTATATAATGTACAAACAATGTATGTTGTTTTAGTAGGACATTTAAAACCTGGCTGATCTGAAGAAGAAAAACAGAAACTATCAGTATTATTGCTATGAAGTAGGCCATTGTGTCAGTGTTATGTTGCTGGACATGGTGAACCTTTATTCAGTATGTGATTATGTTAGACATACAGCAGTTCAAAAGTTCAAGTAACCTTGGACTGACACTGATCATGACACAGCATGTGTCGTGAATCAGTAATCCTTGCAATTGTTATATTTACTTTCTGTGATAAAGACTTCCTAGGGTACATCACCATTCACATCAAACACCTGATAACAGTGAGCAGTGTTCAAGAGTTACCTCCCTTAGCAATATTGCATTGATATGTTTGACAGTTGTGTATGGAGGGAGGAGGGGGGGCACTAGGACTTCAGCTGTACTGTAATACATAGGTACATTGAATAGATGTGCTGGATTCACATCACCAGAAAAATAACAACCAATGATGGGCCTGTTATACCTGATGTCATATCAGATGAATGAGGAAGCTAAAAGACAAAGTTGATAAAAAAAAATGAATTACCATATAGTAGATAATATTAAAAATGGAAATGTTGATATTAGGAAAAAAGGTGGGTAAAAAGTAAAAAAGAATCAAAGGAAAAAGAAAAAAGATTTATGTTGTATTGAACAATCTGGAAAAGTGTGAATGAAGTGACAAAGGAGAACTTAAGGGATAATATCAGTTTCGAGTGGCTATGATTCAGCAGAAATCAGCTGACTGTAATGTCATTGTGTAACACAATTGTATTATATCTATATAGTGTTTGTGCTTTATACACAAAGCCAGTTATTTTTACTTCCTCGGGCAGAGGAAATGCAGTATCCAGTACAAATATTATCCCAGAAGTTTGTAGAAGTGCTGTGTGACTGTAAGGCTTCATTAGGAATGTTCTGATGATGTAATTACAGTTGTATAGAATTGATGAATGTTCTCCATGGAAACAGAACCTGTTTCTGCGAAAATGTTTACAAATATAGAACCACATCCAAGTACCGTGATCAGGTGAACAAAGTACTATTGATTAAAGAAATAATAGATCTGTACAATTAGGGGCTTGTATGCATTCCTTCATACATCAGATAATTATCAGCGACATTAAGGCGCAGTGATTGTGTGAAAGGGTTCTATAAAGTCTGTAAGAGAGATCATGGAATCATCCCCAACCGTCAACTGTTTTCTTCTCACCTGCAACAAAATGTCACAAAAGCGAGACTGTGGTGTGTTTTGTGTTTTGCCTCAAAAAATATAAATCCAGCTTAAATTAAGCTTGAAATGCATTTAGATGACACCATACACACCTCAACACAACCATAATTTATAAAATTTTGTGGTTTAGATTGATTCTCTGAAAATAAGGGACGCTAATCTATTGTATTATGCAATGAAATGTTAAAAACAAAATCCACCAAACAACTCTTTCACCATATTCCATGTGGATTTCTGAGATTGTCATTTTAGTTTTGCAGAATAAAGACCCAGTTAATACCTGGAATCTGTTTTACACAACTTTTAGTGTTTTATAATCAGGCCGTATTGTTTTGATAGTTAAATGATGAGCTGAATTCCCTGAATTTTAGGACTTGTTTGTTTCAACTCATCCACTCAAGATGATATTTGCTTTTACATGCTTGGTCTCACCAACCTACACCATCAGATTGCACATCACAAACAAAAAAAGAAATTACTGATATATCATTTTATTTATTTTTTATTAAAACTCAAATTCAATGAAACTGGAGCAATTTATGAACAAAAGATAGATTTACACTGAGACTCCTGAAAAAGTAGAAGGAGAGTAAGACCAGGTGTTCTGGAAGGGTAAATGTTTTCTGCTTATTCAACGAAATCTGCCATACAGATACTACATCTTGGTCAATCACGCCCCAAATAAGAGGTAAATAACAATGAAACCACCAGGCTTGTTATGAGTATCAAACATCATCAACTTTGCTTCACACAAGAATATTTCCAGATGAGATCATTATGACTACCAAAGATGTTTCCCCTTATCTTCACCAACCTGCATACCCGGAAACCTTGTGTAGGACAACAATCCTTCATTACTATTGTACAATTTCTCGGCACTATTCAATTAAAGTGGTAAGTGTATTTTTCCTGCCAGTAGGACCGCGATGACTGGGTTGTTAATGCATCTGATCATCTTTATTACTAGCCCTCCACCTCTGGGTTGTGGGTACAAGGCCTTGGCATGGGGCAGTTGCAGTTTGGGGATTTATCTTTGGAAACTCTTGATTTCCTTCACCTCCCAAACCTGGCATGTCTTTATATGATCCTGGCTGTTAATCGGATGTTAGCAACAATAAAAAATATCTTACCTGCTTGTCACATTTTACTATAAAAAAATTTATGATGGTCATTATTATTACATGGCAGTGAATTCGTACTAGATCTTTATTTTACTAAGCGGCAATATACAGTAAAGTTTGTAATATTTACTGCAGATTTTATTTTGCTACATACATAGTCATTAAAGCATGAAATTAGATATCCATCAAAAAGTTACAGTGATTCAAGATTTTAGAGTGCCTTTATACATGGATACTGATAATAGAATGTTAAGTAGCCCAAAATGAGACAACCACAAATAAAAGCCCTGCAATGCAGGCATTAGCAAAAAAAATAGGGTAGGCTACTTATAATGGCATATAACTAAGATTTCTAATGTTATGTTCATAAAGTCACACTGTACCAGCCAGTGTTTTATATTTGTAATCTCGCCTTCTAAAATATCAGCTTTCAAATACAAGTTTAACACCTTAGGAAGAAGATATTCACTTACAATATCACTGAAGGACACAAATAGTTTTAAATTCTGTCACATGGATCTTTTCCCTGAATTCAGCAGTTACTGTGAAAAAAAAAATCTGTTTTAAAATTGATGACTCTACACAAATGAAGTAGGGGGCTTATTCATGGGCAGGGGCTTATTTGCAGATAGATATGGTAACACCTACATTGTATTATTCATCTAAAGAGTCCGAGCACAAATACTGCTAAAAATAATCACAACTTTTGTTGGAGATGTCACAATGTGCACTAGAGTGCTTCAGGGGAACAAACTCTTTCCTGTCCATTAGGTTTATAGATAAGTGATTAATCATTACACATACCTGTCAGATTCTTACCTGTTCTCTGCAGTCACATGTGTAATTGACTCATTTGACGTGGCAAGACTGTTGGGGTGTATATAGTCAAAATCCCACACATGAATCTGACAGTTTCTGTCTCCAGTCGTGCCATATTTGTACTAACATCTACAAGCCAAATTGTCTTATTGAATGTATGACAGACATCTTTATGCTATTTCTGACCAATGCTACTGGACGTGATGACCATTGATAAATTGGGAGAACAGATGTGACGTTTATTGTGGAGACACAACATATAAGATGGTGTTCAACTAAATAATTCCAGTGGATGTTCTTGTTTGGAATCCAGACATGGGTTTAAATTCAGTTGTAGCTTGATGTCCACTTGACAAAGTATGATAAATGGAAAAGATCTTTAAAGTTTCAAACAAGTTTGAGAAATTTATCAGAAATGACTCTACAGCTGTGAAGATGGAACCATAATTTTCATAAAAGACACTTGTGGACTGTTGTAACAGTGGGAAAACACTTTGAAATGTGAAGGATTAAACATTGAAGTACATTGTTAATCTTCCTGAAAACAGAATGTTTCAGCTACAGGTATCACTGTGATGTAAAGTGTTTGGAGTCTATTTATAGCACTGTGAAATCATGTCATTGATAACATACACGGAACAATCAGGCCTCATTAGAGATAAATTTTGGGTCAGAAAGTATGTCATGTTGTATGATTAGTACTGATATTGGGTTATTATCTTGTGTGTATTCCAGTGTGAACAGATGAGGAATGTTAAAATCACTTTTGTCGTATGGAAAAAACACAAAGTATAAATAGACATATGTTTTAACCCAATTGTTGATATCAATATTTGACTTTTGATAATTTCTAAATTGCAAACCTTTGAAAAAATTTCAATTTTTTCCTCAAAATGCCAGGACAACTTTCTCAAACATTTTGACTCCACTGATATCAGATTTCTGTGACAGCTGTAACTTTTTTAGCTGAAATTGATAGGAAGTCAGTTGTTTTGAAGTAGCTAGATATTAAAAGATGACAGAAAACAAGAGAAAGAAGTCGTCTGGATCATTGACCAATGAAAAACCAGGATTGGATCAACAGGACTGTAATATTGATGATTTGAATTACGAGGCAAACATTAGTGAAGCTGGAAACTACCTCAAATTTCTACAGCTTACTCACCATGAGGGTTCGCAGTCTGATGAAGAAACTGGTGTTTACAACTCGGGAGACTTGGATGGGTACATAGAGGATGATATTATAGGAGAAATGCCTCCCGCTGAGGAAGATATAGACTCTGATTATGATTTCGGCCTTTCTGATCTCACCGAAGCAGGTAGTTTAATGTTATCAACAACTTTTAGCGAATGTCAACTTTGTAATGATATGCCAGCTATAACACTCCAGTCTATATTGCACAGTTCAACCCGAAAGCATCCTAACTTTGAGAATTGTCCAGAATACCTATATATGATTGAAGAGATTTTCACTTCTTATTCTCAACACTGATGTTTATTTTTTGAACAGACTACAAGATATTTATTATTCAGCTTTTGTAAAAACTAAACACTAATGTAAAATTTCTGGATTTGTTTAGTCATACTGACCCAATAAAATTTTCATATGATAATGTGAGACAGTGCAGACTGTTTCATCCACTGATTTCAAAATACCAATGGTTTCAAAAGTGAAAATAAAAATAAATTAGAAATGAACAATACACAGTGCAAGACTTGTATAGAATGATAATATATAGAGATAATAAATATTGATCATATTTAGTTTCAAATTATTATGAAATTTGGAAAAAAAAAAAAAAAAAACCAGCTGATGTACACTTCTAGTTCTGTACTAATTAGTATAAAGACTTGTGTTGATGCATCAGAATGACCTGTTTTGTTGAACTTTACCCTTAATGTTTGGAAGATTAGGTTTATATGAAGATAAGTTTACATGTTTATTAAGTGTAGAGGGTAAAGCATCAGTGAGCAGTTTGTTGACTTTTGTTTCCTATACAAATATACACTCACCAGTAATCAATATAGTAATGAAAGGTGAATATGACATCTAGCTGAATCATTGTGATGGACTATATAGCGATATATTCTGTATTCTGTAGATATACCGGGCTTAATATCAGGTTCATTTTGTTGTCATTTATTGGTAGTTACCCTCCATAAAAAGGACAGAAATCCCCATTTTTTTTCCTTAAAACTTAACTTTTCATCATATTTTTTATATTGTTTATGAGGATTTTTCTCCTTTTTCTATTAAACTCAATTATATTTATGCACATTTTGTATCACAAATGATGCCATCAAATGTACCCAGAATGCATCATTTTGTATCTATTTTTAAAAGAGGTTTGCCCTCAGCCTGGTGTCCCCCATGCAGTATTAGCTGAAGTTGCTTCATGTACAATGGTTTGGGCTTTCTCCTCAATTGCTCTATTGCTAAGCTGATCCTTCCCATTTTTTCTGAAAGGTGCTTCTCCTAAAATCTAGACTAAGCTCTAACATATATATAAAACCAAACAGAGAAAGAGTGGTATATCCTTCTGTAATTATAAAAATATGTTCTATGTCTTTAAGAGAAATAAAGAAAATATATAGTGTGCCTCACCCTAAAAACAGAAAAAATGGTTTTGTAATAAAGGAAAACTTCCAGAAAGACTGTGAAATTGTCTTCATAATCTAAGTAACTATTAGAGGTACATATGAAAAATGCCTGGTATTTATGTCAAAAGATGGCCTGAAGCTTTTAGTACACAAACTTAGCGTATACCATATCTGCAGAGATTTCTGACCATCTATGATCTTGGATGAATTAGCCCCCAATAACAGGCTTTACTCAAATGTCCAGGGCACAACAATGGCTCAAATCTCTTGCATCATGATATGTTATGAGATAAACAACACGTATCTGTAGTTTGATGTCCACCCAATCAGGAAGGCCTTACTACACCATTAGAGTCTCTCTAAATACCTGATACAAGCTTTGTTGATCTATACAAACACTTACAGCTCAGGGCACTAAAGGAAATCTCTGCATTCAGATATTAGTTATCTGATATTTTACTTAACTTCATGATGGGTTAGAGATATCGCAAGAAAAAAATCAAAGTAGTAAGGACATTTGAAATTTGTATGGGTTTTATAAAATATATTTACCATGGCCAGTGTGGTCCTCAGAGACAAATTCTTGTAAGCATTTTCTGTCAGTATTTTACTAAATATAATTGAAAGTGACTGGCATATCCAATACCTGATTGGGTATCATACCAGAAAAGTATCTTTCAGTGATACCAACTTTTGATTACCCATATATTAAAATACAATTATGTATATTTACATTATACCCTCAACATTTTGGGCAATATGGACAAGGTGTCCAGTTATATTGGATTAAAAAACATTATCTTTTATGATGGAGTAAATCCAGTAGTGGGAACAGCTAAAATGTGAGATGTCACAGTACTCCAGTAATGGGAACAGCTAAAATGTGAGACGTCACAATACAGCAGTGTATAGCTAGGACGATTTGTAAGAACATTACAAATAACTGTTGTATGGGATGGTGGCAGGCAAATCAAGAACATCTCACAAATTATGACGCATAGGAGGATCGGTGATAAGAGCTTTGTAGGCATTCATAACATCATTCAGGCTTGTATATCACTAAAAATAGGTTGTTTACAAATGTAAATGGGTGATACAATAGTTTCTTTGTAACAGACAGTTGAAAAAGTTGGAAACTATACCGCCGGACTAAATTGAATTCCCAACTATCCTCCATAATCCTGGTACATTTTACTTTTAATCCGATATCTCCTTGACATTTCTAGTCTTTGTCACAGAGACAACCATAACCAGGTCCTATTTCTGCAATGAAGCCTTTCAAAGCTCTCCTAGCTTATGCTTGCAATGGCCAGAGCACCAATAAGTATTTAGAAGGGGTTGAAAGTGCACGGTCCGCACTTGCATCAATATGACTCTGGCAGTTTAAGGGGCAATCGACCCAACAAACATTAATGATAGCAATGAATTATATGATATTGGTTGTAATTTCAGATGAACACATGATGTACGATAACCTTGAATCGCCAACATTTGAGAATGTGGAAGGTGTTGATGGAGCAGCCCCCGGATCTGGAGAGTCTCCAGCATACCAGGATCCTGCAGAGAGGGAACGAGATTTAGAAAAATACAGAGAGGAACTTGCAAGAGTGAGTAGTATGAAAAAAAACCCTCTGGCATCCACAAGGATAATATTGTAATAGTTTGAGACAACAATTTTGTCCAATTTGCTAGTATCAGTTTGTGCACTGGTGATCATGTGACAGAACAGGAAGCTAATATGGGTTATGGCATCTTCGTTTCACTGTGAGTCTTGGTAGATTGTAAACTATGATTGTATCAGTGCAAATTGTTTTTCTCTAAAACTCAAATGAAGTTATATTGTATCAGTTCTTATAATCAATATCAGTCTTATTTCTATTGAAATTTTGCATTCATTCCTTTGAAAAAGGTAAGTGAATCGCTTGTAAAACGTTATAGACTTTACATCCCTTCTTTTGTAAAGTTTTGTAAATTAAACCTTTCTTGATACCTTAACTATTTGAAGTATAATTTATAAAAAAGATGTTTCATTACACTTTATTTGTGACTCAAATTTTTCTTTGTTATAGGTTGAGAGTGAGATTACTACCCTAAGACAAGTTTTAGGGTCAAAGGTCAGATATGCCTCAGAACTGAAAAGAAAAATGGGAATAACTCCATTCCAGGAGCTTAAACAAGATATCCACTATGGCTTCAAAACTATCAAAGAATCGGATACGTAAGTGTCTTCATGGTCACGTACACTCTTGTTACTTTTTTTTTCTTAAAAATATTCTGCAGTCACTTGACATTTTTGCCGGTGAATTTTTCTTGGTTATCACCCATCTGTGCTCACTAATGAAAAGAATTTATAGTATCAACATAATTAAAAAGATTAACAACATGTCAATTTGGTGGAAATAAAACATCCCTTAATTTATTTTTTTATTTGAAAGTTATTTTATGAAAAATTTTTGGCACTGGTGTTGATGAATGTCCGATAATTACTTGGTGAGAGGCTAATTTGAAAATGGAATCATTCGGTCTATGATAGCATTCTGTGGTAGCTATAGCTTCAACCAGCTAACAACATTCCATAAAAAAATCCAGTGATGATGCAGATCTTGGTCTTATGTAGGTCTCTATGTAAACTTAACAAAAAGTTATTTGTTAAACTGTTTGAATTATCAAAAAAAACACAAAAAATCATTGGTAATTACTTTCTTTAATCTGTATCAATACAGTCACATTTACTGAGGTCGAGACCACTTTGTTAACAATAGCAATAAAGAAAGGAAGTTGTCTGTCAATAACATTATATAACTAGAAAGCCATTAGCAACGCTTGTTAGAAAGAGAACAGAGAAGCTTTGAACAAAATATCGTATTTATCCTGTAAGTAACCCAGCCAGGGACAGTTTATAGCCATTGATGAAATTTAAATATTTACTATTTATCCTACAAACAGGATTAATATAGATGTGGCTGGGCTTATTACAAGGCATTGACTAATTGCACGACTGATACTGTTTCTTGCAGTTAATGGCCTTGAAGCATCTAAAAAAAATTTAAAAATGTGAAAGTAAATCTTTGTTGTTGGAGATAAAAAACAGCATTGGGGTTCTTTTCATTCATTGTTGTTGATTTAGATTTTTCAATAATTAAGTGTTTAACAAAAATGTGTTAGTGATTGATCTGTTTTTATCCCTTTTGCTCTGTTACTGTGTGGCATTTTGACGTGAAAATCCTTTATAGTTTAGCTGGCACTTTCATTCTGAAAAAGAAAATAGCTAGACATGTCCTTCATTTATGATTGAGTAGCTTGTGGTTTTGATAGTAAAACACAAAGTTATTTTGTAGAGTTACGATTGATTTTGTAAAAAGCGTTTTAGATGAATGTTTAGTTCCTTTTTAACGTTCTGCACTAAGTGTAGTTCTGAGCACATTTCTGGTATTTTTCCTTGTGTTAGTGTTGTGAAGACAAACGAAAAGCTGACTAATGTCAAAGAAAGAATAACTGCCTCAAATGCGTAAGTTCTTTTCTCCTCATTTTGGGTTTTTTGACTTGTGTGTCTATGGTAATCACTAATTACTCTGTGTCTTTAGAAATATAGTCGCCTATTATATACTTCAGTCTTGTCTTCTCTTGATTTTTGATGCCCAGAATCTTAATTGATGATGGGGCATATTTGTGTAATCATTGAGTATGAGAAAAACCTGTGTTTCAGGATATCAAGGTCAAGGTTGCATTACTATATATAGACACTGTGACAGCATATCGTACCATTATAGATTTTGCTCAAACTTATAAAAAAGTAAATGAGATCTTTATTTAGATTATCAAAAAGTGATTTTCAGGTTTAAAATAGTACAGGTCTATAAATTCATTTTTCTTTTCTTGTTCTTATTTTCATCGGCTATTTCTACAGAAAAAATATATTGGTGATTTCTACTGAAAAAAACCCACATTGAAGAGCATGTAATATTGGAAGCAAACCACTCATCATGTATCCTTAACAATCTTTCACAGACCTTACAGATTTTTCACAAGTGCTTGATTTCATTTACATTTGTATTAACATCCTGGAGTGTTTTGATATTTTTTTTTTAACTTTTTAGTCCACCATCAACAGATGATGGTGTTTTTAAATTGTCCTTTGTCCATGGTCTATCATCCATTCTTATTCCCTCTGCAAGCAACTGTTGGTACATGTTATTTCTTGATTTTCTTAAATCTCTGTCAAAATCACCTCAATATTTTTCTTAGTCCCAAGATAAAAAAAAAATGGCTGACAGATGGCCATCTTGGATTTTGAGATCGAAAGATTGTTCTTTCTAATTCTTGATAAGTACAGAATTAATTTCAATCAAATTTAGTAGATGGATTCTCCTTGATCCCTAGTCACGTCTGTTCAAATTTAAGACTGATCTGAAGATAACATGACTCACAAACAGCCATTTGTAAATTTCTTTTGTTGAATCTTGTTACCATATATAACTCTGTCATATGTCAATATAGAAAATTATCATACATACATATGAGAACAAAGAGTCTTTAAAAAAGTGGTTTAAAAAAAGTGTGGGACGGGGATAGACCAAGTAGAGACAGTATCTGCCTTGTATAGAACTCCTAAATATCATAGGACTCGACAGGCTCCAAGTTCCCTAAGTTATTAGATAGATGTAGTTTTGTATTCATTAATTTTACATTACAATGTGTGATATTAGTGCATGATTTATCAGTTCAGACTGTTCTGTCTTCATGTTTCTTTGTGGTCAAAAATATGATTACCGTATTTATCCTACAATGACCCCAAGAGTAAACACTAAAAGCTATGCTGTGTCGTAGAAGAATGACATGACAGTAGCGTATTATTGGGCTGCATTTGACATGAATGGGCTTAATGTTGGATAAATACGGTAATGCTTTCTGAAAACACGTATATATACCATATAATCAGATATTGCCGCCACCAAAGAGCTTTCTAACGTAACACAATTATCCTGTGAAGTCATATATTTTTGTGGGGCTCAGTTTTGTGGATTTTTTGACACATACTATAATCCATGTCAACTTTAATCTGTTAATGATTTCATGAAAATATTAATTCCTTGATTTAGAGTACCCGTGAATTCAACAAAATAAACCCCCCCATGAAAATAATATGATTTTGTAGGAGATTTTCATTGTCCGACAAGTTTATGTTGAAAACTATGTGGAAAATTTAAACAGACTTCCCATTTCAAAACATTATGAAATATGTCTTAAAAGATCTGAATACTTAAAACATTAACTTAACAAGATTTTATTTCCTATAAGTTAATAAAACTTGTTTTATGAAGTTGTAATTGTAAAGGGTTGCAACATTTTTGTCTTGATGGGATGAGATTGCAGAATTTAGACCAGTGTTATTTATCTGTAGCAACAGCATTCACAACCAACTTTGAGATGTTTAAAACAGTTTCACAAAAAACATAAGCAGTCACATTAGGTCAAAAGTAAGATTTAAAGTTGTACCTCTCAAATTAGGATGGAATGGAATTTTCAGAAGAAAATTTCGAGAATTTTTGAGAGAAAATCAGGATATTTTGAGAGATGGTGAAACCTTCCTTAGAATGATTATCAAATTGACCTGAAATTTTGTATACATTTTCCATTAATACTTTCCATTATGTCTGCTGTATACAAGTTTCTGTAATGTTTATATTTGAATACCTTTCTTCATGGCCTTTGGAATGCAATTTCTTCTGGAAGCATTTATTTTGTATTTTAATCGAAATTGGATCATATATCAAATTCAGCTTGTCAATGTCCTCAATAGTAGTGTCTTGACCTATATAAGTGCAGAAATTTTTTATAGGATATTTGCAAAAGGAAGTAGAAGACAACATTCAAATTCTTTGCATAGTTGTGTAAAGTTTTTGTTTGAAGTTCCGTTGCCTATTCGCTTCTGATGTGTGAAAAAGGAATAAATGCATGATATTACTGTGATGTCATTATGTTAGGTCACTGCATGAAAAGTATGTGTTACACTAATCTGTTACATCAATCCAACAAGATCAGTATAAGGATATTACATTTTCATGATTCCTATAAAATCTTCATTGCAGATATCAAAAGACTAACGAAAAACTCGTTGAAATGAATGATAAAATAACTCATTCTCAAGCGTGAGTATAGATGCTTGCTATCCATCTCAGCATGAGAATGTATTTGTCAATAACTTGTTGTACATATAATTACTAAATTGGGCATGGGGACCTGTTTGTCTGTGTGGTAAGCTATTGTCCTTTAACTGTGATGTCATCCAGATGTCTATTTTTTTTCATTTGTAATAGACATCTGTCAAAAATTTTGGAAGAACCCATGAATATTTTCTCTAAATTTGATATTGAGGAATTAATTCAAATCACAAAGTTTATATATTTGTTGATGTAGTGATACAAAAGTGTACATAACATAAACTTCAAGGCTTAGACAATAATATTTAATGTTTTGTGTAGAGAAGGATTTGTATTGCGATGGAAACTGGAATTAGATCAACCAACTGTAGAGTATATACAACTCTGAAGTATTAACTTTCTTATAATTTACATGGTAATGGAGGTGTATGTATGTAAAGGTATATTAACTTTCATTTTCTTATTAAATTTGCACCTGTATTTGTTCTGCTAATTGATTATGGGTCAATGTCAAGTGTGAATTTGTTAATGCAATTCTTATCCCTTCTTATTTCAAAAAGAGCCTTTGGTCTTTTTATTATTTTATTTTTTAAGCTTGCCTGTCTGAAATACTCAGTTAATGTATGTAAAGATGACTGCAGTGTTTTTCAGTGTCAGATTCTCATGTATGTTTGTAACAATATTTGTACAGCAACCAACCATGACTCCCCCCACCACCTTTATTTTGATAGCAGAATCACACACAGAGTTACCTCCCTCTATTTGATATTTAATACAGATGAATGAATTACTCATAGTAAATAATCAGACCCCTTAATGCCTGTTAAAGTTCAAATCAGTTATCTCCCTTGTGACAATGAAAATCAATTGCATGACATTTCATCCACATGCAGCTTTAAAATCTTTCAAATTGAGACCAGCTTACATAATAATTCTGCTGTTTACTGACAGCTAGGCAGTCATTTTTCCTTGCTTACTTCCTTCTTTCCTAATTGATCTTTTGTTACTGTTTGTGACCTTCTTAATTAAACAACTTGAGTCATGCTCATTAACCTTCCGTAAAGTACCATCCATACAAAATCTACTTGATCAAATGATGCACCTAATTATAGTGGATAATTTGACATATTGGGTATTCCAAAATCATTACCATGGAAATATCTTGGAGGCTTCTGATTGGTTGAAATTAAGATAGTATATAATGAGGTTGAAAATTGGTAAAACAAGGTTTATGAGGATGACAAATACAATGATACCATTTTCGAAAGAAAAAAAAATGGTTTCCATTTGGTTTGCCAAAGTGACCAAATGAAGACCTCTTGGAGGAATCTTGTTGGGACAAACCCTCCAAAACTATTGTTGTTTGGAGAGTGGGGGCATATTCTGCCATTCTGCCATCCTGGCATCTAGGTCTAGTTCTAGTTTTAGTTTCTAGATGTTTTGATATTCACAATATTTAATTGTAATCGATGGATTCTCAGCAATTATATATTATCTAAATTTGTATTGATGATGATTTTTATTGGTCTTTGTTTCATTTTATACTTAACACTTCATACTGTCTGTAGCTTTCTTAACATTGTGTATATGCACTGTTTAATTTTAAATGTTTAATATAGATAAATATATATAATAACCTTTAAAATAGATAATTAAATGTAGATAATATATATACTTACATGTGATATAGCCATTTATGATGTCAGTCATCCTTAAATAAAGGGATGCTGACATATTCAGAACATACTACTTGTATGATATAATCTGGCACATGTTTGTTTAATGGATAGAAAAGTAACAAGAAACCTAGATAAAACAAGGGGAAATAATAACCTAAAAATATTTACATGTAGATCATTGAAAAAGTACAATGTAGTGTTCCTTCCTTGTAAATCTTGGCCAAAAAATATCAAACAAGGAAGTACATATTTCTAATCCAGTATGTGATGCTGCATAATAATTTTAAATAATATTGGTACATGCCACTTGTATAAAACATCTCAACTTGAGATTTCCTCAAGTCGAGATTTTCCTCAGCTGATATCTCCTTGAAAATATCTTGTATGAAAATTCCTCAAGGAATTTCAGGACATCCTAGCCGATGGCTTCCTCCTGTTCCTTGAGAAAATTGTATACAAGCCGTTTTTGAGGAGACATCAGCGGAGGAAAATCTCGACTTGAGGAAATCTCAAGTTGAGATGTTTTATACAAGTGGGGCCAGATCAACTAGCCTTCTCTTTCATTTACGACAATTACTGTACATTTTGTTGTATTTTTTTTTTAAAGGAAATATGATCGCTGGTGTCCATATCACTTTTTCATGTTAATTGTAAGGTCCAACCAGCTGTAAGCATCCTAAATGATGTTTTCAGTGATAAGTAATGGTGGTCCTACAAAGAATCTATCTTTCATACCTTTTGATACCAAATTGTAAGTCTGACCCACTGACCCGAAATCTTCATACCATATTTTCCTATTTGCATCATTTAAACTGTGTTACTAAGCCATGGTACTCTGCATGCTTTTAAAAAACATCACACTAAAACGTTATATTGTTAGAATTGCTCTTACTGTGAAGTTTTATTCAAACTGATGGAATCAGATTAAAATGTGACATAGAAAATAAACGTGACTTGGAATTTTCATGGTCGATATCAACGAAAATTGATGTCACGAAGGCTTCCATCATTAGTACATTAATTGATGTTAAAATATGTTGATGCCTTAAACATTGCTTTCATGTTGACGTTTAGTGAGATATGTAATTAAGACCTGGAGAATTAAATGTTTTACAGCATAAACTACATGTATGATGTTATCCAGATTTGACTTGATATCAGAATCAAGGAGAGGAATTGTATTAATTACCTATTACAGTGTGTGATAATCTTAAAATTACATTTATTTATCAATGATTTAATGTATGTTGATAAAAATGGATGATAATCAGGAGGCAGGGATGTTTAGGCTGCCATTTCTAACTTGTTGTTGAAAATTGATACTGTCAAGGTCAAGGTCACAAACACCAAGCAGTTGTTTCTCCTAAGGTGAAGTTCACACACACAAGTTTATATTCTGAATGTTTCAAGGTCACAAAGTGGTTAATGTCTGAATGTAGTGTTTATGTGGATTGTTACTTGTGAATACTTTATCATAATTTGTGGATATATATACTATCACTTTTGCAGATGTGCTTCCTGACATGATTTGTATAGTCAAGGTCAACAACATAGACACAGAAGGTCAAAACAATGGGCAGAATATTACTTGTAAAAAGCTTATGATTTCATGTATTAGGAAGTGAGTCAAAGATCATTCTATGCAGTGAATGTTTCACAGAGTTTTTATTAATAAACAGGAAGAAATCATAAAATCAAATGTTTATATTATGCTAACTTCAAAGTTGAGTGTGTTAAGTCTGAAGGGATTTATTGCAGATATCAAAAGACAAATGAATACTTGGGTGAAATGAATGATAAAATCAGTAGCTCCTCGGCGTAAGTATAGTGTGCAGTACCAAATTGCATGGAGAAAAATCCTTTTTTGTGTGGAGTTATCTGCCCTTGTATATTGTATTATTACTCAACTCCAGTGTTTTGTAATATTTACTGTGTACAATATATTCTATAACTGTTATCCTGGGCTAATATTCTACAGGGAAAGCATGTGGTTAATCATCATCATTGTTGTCCTTGGTAACCAGGTATCTTATGACCTTGACAGTTGTGAGTTCATTTGCCTATCATTGTTGTCCTTGGTTACCAGGTATTTTTGACTTGGACTGATGTGAGGTCATCAATCCCCTTTCAAAGTCGATGGTTGGTTCTTCTATACATTGTCTAAGGAAAATAGTGGACATATTTTAGAGAGCAAATTTTGCCCACTCTCAATACTTTTCAATGAAATTGTTTTTGATGCAGGGTCCATCTAAGTCCAGTATAAAATCAATCTGTTATCCTTAATTTCTAATAAGGCGTCTTCTAGAAAATTTCAGTATAGGTTCTACTTGTGCATGCCACATTTTGAGTATAACATAGACTTTTTATTGTGGCAAGTGTCCGTTTCAGATATGTAACAGTTCAAGTTTGTTACCAGCTATTTGCCTGATTTAAGATGGGGATCTTTTTAAAATTTCTTGGATAACTGAGTTCTAGTTGTAACATATACATAGTGACTTTAAGAAGATTAACCATCATAGGCTGTTTTTAAATTATACCTCGTTATTGCTTAGTACAACTGAAAGGCTCTTTTGACCTTGTGGCAAAAGAATGGAGATTTTTTGTTATTGCGTATAAAGATGTCATCATCTGGATAAAGTTATCAATTTCAAAGCAGGACAGCAACCCCAGGTTCTGATTTCTAAGCTCCTGTTCATATTGTTGTTACTTTCATGTACCAGTTGTAACAAAGTTTTTTTTACAATTTTCATTGTATAATTAATCTCTTGGGTATTTTATAAGCAGAACAGATGTATTTCATAAATATGTTAAAATTCAACAAATAGCTGAATATAGAGTAATATATGTATTAGAAAGTGAAAACGCCAAGAAAACTACTGTGATATACATTATATCTATATGTAGGTAGGTAGGTACTGTTTGTTCCTTATGTAATATGTGTTAAGTGCCCCTTGTTTTGGAATTTTATAACTAACTGCTGACAAGGAGATGTAGATGGAAATAGACTGAGTGGCATCATATGATGATAAATGTGTTATCTTAATTCTTCATGCACATTAAGACTGACTCAGTATTTATCATCAACAGGATGTGTATTTCCTGTGCATTAGTAACCTGACGTATTGACGATCTGTTCTACTCATTAAAGATGCTTCTGCACCACTCAATGATGTTTCATGTTTAAAATGACTTTAAAGGAGACATAATTTCTTATATGAAAACAGGAAATATATTTCATCATGTTAAAAAAATTCAACATTTTTAAAAATATGAGTTCATGGAAATGACTTACTTTTCATCAAGAAATTGGCCGAAGGTAAAATTTTATAATTGAACACAATCTTTATTTGATGATGGTGATTGTTTACTTGGACAGATATAAAGTATTCTGTTACTTTGTGATAGTTTTTCGTACACAGCATACAGACACCTGTCTATGTGAGGAGTTATTGTATCACTACCAGAGATGCATGTTAACACTAAGTAGCATGATTACTGTATTGTCCACATCAGAATTACAATATTATGATAGTATATGCATGATCACGTTGGATATTGTCATATTGAAATAAGAAACTCAAAAGTATTAAAATGAAACTTGTCGTGTTGTAATGAAAAGCTGGTTAATTCATGATGACTAATATTAGATTTACACACAAAACATATGAAAACTGAATTCTGCACAATTTTTTGCATAGCTGTTTATATATGGCACCAACTTCATTGGTATAATGTAGATCATGACAGCTTAACAAACAAGTGTAGAAATGTTGATTTCTGCTTTTAAAGTAGTATAGTGATGATTATGTAAATCTGTAGCTCTGTTCTAAGTTTAAATGTTGCAGCTCTACAAAAACTGGCCATTAATTGATGTGTTCCACCAGAACTATGGAATCATCCTTACAAATGTAGTGCTCAACAAACCAGATATTGATATCTACAAAACATAACGTCATTGTTTCATAAACCTTTAGATGAGACTATGGATTTTTTGGTCAACATATTTATTTTAAAAATGCAATCTGTTGTACATTCACAGGTATCAGAAAACGTCATCCGCAGTGAAGACAGCATCAGAGAAAACTAATGCAGTTGTTACGTCCTTCGGTGCTTCCGTCTCGAAAAAGTTAGGAGATATTAGGTAAGATTAAACACCTTGGGACAAAATAACTAATGATAAGAACAGATGTGGTATAAAGTGACCTCTCAGGTCAAATGTCATTAGCTGAGGTCGTATTAAAACAGTTCTGGTAACATGACATTAGCTTAGGTCAAATCACAATTTTTTTTTACAGAGTTATCGTTCCTTAACAATTACAATACAGCTCTGTAAACAGCTCACAGACTACCAATAATTGGCCTTGCTATTGCCTTGCTTAAGGGTTAAGATTTACTAAGTTTAATTTCATGCAAATAAGGTGGCATCCTTGATTACACCAACAAAGGACACAGCAATAGACTGATCAGCATAAAAAAACATTACAACCACAGTAGGGTAACTCTGGTGCCAATATTTCAGCCAAATAACCAAAGTTATCACTGACATCACAGTACCAGGAATATCAACCTGTATCCCAAGAACATGTGAATATTTGAAAAGCATTTAAGATCACATAATAATTTCATGGGTTCATAGTTCAGGTTTGTTTACCAAGACGAAATTTATTGTACCCAGAAGTTATGCAGTGCAATGGTAAACACTTGTTATATTTTATATATTATTGCATAGGATTATCTGGATTGGACATTTTGTCCAGATATCTGCTAGACTTTCAGTTTTCCAGTGGGTCCTTTTGAAACTGTGTTGGTAGAACCCCCAATGTGGTAGTCTTAATCAATCAAGCTAAAGAAAAGAGCGCTCAAGACAAGAGGTATATTATGGCAAAAATTTACCAGCGTTACACTACTGTGGCTAGGATTCACCAGGGTTACACTACTGTGGGTAGGATTCACCAGGGTTACACTACTGTGGGTAGGATTCACCAGGGTTACACTACTGTGGGTAGGATTCACCAGGGTTACACTACTGTGACTAGGATTTACCAGGGTTACACTACTGTGGCTAGGATTTACCAGGGTTACACTACTGTGGGTAGGATTCACCAGGGTTACACTATTGTGACTAGGATTCACCAGAGTTACACTACTGTGGCTAGGATTTACCAGAGTTACACTACTGTGGCTAGGATTCACCAGGGTTACACTACTGTGGGTAGGATTCACCAGGGTTACACTACTGTGGCTAAGATTCACCAGGGTTACACTACTGTGGCTAAGATTTACCAGGGTTACACTACTGTGGCTAGGATTTACCAGGGTTACACTACTGTGGCTAGGATTCACCAGGGTTACACTACTGTGGCTAAGATTCACCAGGGTTACACTACTGTGGGTAGGATTCACCAGGGTTACACTACTGTGGCTAGGATTCACCAGGGTTACACTACTGCGGCTAGGATTCACCAGGGTTACACTACTGTGGCAAAGATTTACCAGGGTTACACTACTGTGGCGAAGATTTACCAGGGTTACACTACTGTGGTTAGGATTCACCAGTTACACTACTGTGACTAGGATTTACCAGGGTTACACTACTGTGGCTAGGATTTACCAGGGTTACACTACTGTGGGTAGGATTCACCAGGGTTACACTACTGTGGGTAGGATTCACCAGAGTTACACTACTGTGGCTAGGATTCACCAGGGTTACACTACTGTGGCTAAGATTCACCAGGGTTACACTACTGTGGCTAGGATTTACCAGGGTTACACTACGGTGGCTAGGATTTACCAGGATTACACTACTGTGGCGAAGATTTACCAGGGTTACATAACGGTGGCTAAGATTTACCAGGGTTACACTACTGTGGCTAAGATATACCAGGGGAGCACTACCGTGGCTAAGATTTACCAGAGTTACACTACTGTGGCTAAGATTTACCAGGGTTACACTACTGTGGCTAGGATTCACCAGGGTTACACTACTGTGGCTAAGATTTACCAGAGTTACACTACTGTGGCTAAGATTTACCAGGGTTACACTACTGTGACTAGGATTTACCAGGGTTACACTACTGTTACTAGGATTCACCAGGGTTACACTACTGTGGCTAGGATTTACCAGCGTTACACTACTGTGCCGAGGATTTAACAGGGTTGCATTACTGTGGCCAGGATTTAACAGGGTTACACTACTGTGGGTAGGATTCACCAGAGTTACACTACTGTGGTTAGGATTCACCAGGGTTACACTACTGCGGCTAGGATTTACCAGGGTTACACTACTGTGGCTAGGATTCACCAGGGTTACACTACTGTGGCTAAGATTTACCAGGGTTACACTACTGTGGCTAAGATTTACCAGGGTTACACTACTGTGGCTAGGATTCACCAGGGTTACACTACTGTGGCTAAGATTTACCAGAGTTACACTACTGTGGCTAAGATTTACCAGGGTTACACTACTGTGACTAGGATTTACCAGGGTTACACTACTGTTACTAGGATTCACCAGGGTTACACTACTGTGGCTAGGATTTACCAGGGTTACACTACTGCGGCTAGGATTCACCAGGATTACAATACTGTGGCAGGATTTACCAGGGTTACACTACTGTGGCAGGATTTACCAGGGTTACTCTAATGTGGCAAGAATTTTTGAGGGTTACATTACTGCTGCTAGGATTCACCAGGGTTACACTACGGTGGCTAGGATTTACCAGGGTTACATTACTGGGGCAAGGGTTACCCTGCTGTTGGAGAATTTACCAGGGTTACACTACTGTGGCAAATATTTACCAGGGTTACATTACTGTGGCAGAATTTACCAGGGTTACAAGACTGTGCCTAGGATTTACCAGGGTTACACTACTGTTACTAGGATTTAACAGGGTTACAAGACTTCGGCTAGGATTGACCAGGATTGCATCACTGTGGCTAGGATTTACCAGGGTTACACTACTGTGGCTAGGAATACACCAGGGTTACACTATTGTGGCTAGGATATACTAAGGGTACATTCTTTCAAATTAAATAGTATATTATGGCTATATTTACCAGGGTTACTTGGTTCCTTTTTCTGTAGTCAAGCAATAAATTTTGGCTTGTGTTTATAAAGGTTCCACAAATAGATTGAGTGTACGATACAGACCTGTCCAATAATGGTTTTGTTGTGATGTTCTTGGTTTGTGAGAAAAAACCTCATCCTTTCTTATTCTGATTTACAACATTCAGATATTTCAGATAGTTAATTCTGCACTTCTATCAGTAATATGCACAAACATGTTTTAAATTTTGGATGAGCCTCTTCATGTTTTTAATTTTGTTTCTGATTTCCTAGAAAGAAATTAATTAAGTTTCAAACTTTTTGTTTTGTTTTGAAGGAATTCTAACACTTTCAAATCGATGGAGGAGAAAGTTGGTGGTGCTTATTCTAATGTGAGGGTAAGTTGATGATGAATGGGTAATGATTTAACACATGTACTTATTTGTCCCCTGGCGTGGCGTTTAGATTGTGGACTGGTACATAACTTAATAGGCATGCACTTCCCTTTAATATTGCTGTCTATAAGTCACTCCAATTTCTCAAATCTCCGTACTTGTTCCAGGGAAATGCAATCTAATAATTTTTAAGCAATCTTTTTTTATGTGTAAGTTTACAAAATTGATCCAGCTAATGCTTCATTTTATATGACTGTGTATTTCATATAAACTGTTTAACAACGGTCAAAATTAGAAAAAATAAAACAGCAACTTTTGGTTTTTTTTTATTCCTTTATGATAAACAAATATGACGTTATTCTATGTTTTTAAAGTAACTATGTCGTATAAAATCATCTAAAAACACAAAGTAAAGGCATCCTAAGTGTTGAGAAATATTTGTATTCAGATTTTTTTTTGTTCTATCATTTGAGAAATTGGAGTCAAGAAAGGAATGTGCTTGTAATGAATGTGGCTCTAAATTCAGTTTTGCTTCATCTTGAAATTGATTCCAAATTTCAATGTTGTACTCAAGAGAAATTTTAACAAATTTGTGGGAGTCGGACAACTAACAATTAGTAAATATGTAAGCAGTGTTAATGGTTGTATGTTAATGGTGGTGCTGAATGGTTTAAATTTGGAGATATTTGTGTTTGTGTAGACATCCCGGTCTATAGGAAATATAAAGGGGCGACTTGGTATGGTAAGTTGTGGTGTTGTAATGCTGTAGTTTTTACTGTATTGTAATATAGATGTATTAGCTTGGTTTCATTAATTTATTGCAGATCGACTTTTACTAGATATTTTCTACCACAGCGTTAAAGTTCATGATGTTGTCTATTTATTTCTATGTTTTGTCTTTTTTTTTAATTTTTAATGCACTTAAGTTACCAGGGTAATATTGATCCCATTTTTTATTTTCAAAATTTCATATTTTTGTAGAGCACACAATATGACAGGATTTTTTCGTCATCAGGCTGCATAGAAATTATTGAAATCGTAAATTTTCACTGAGAAAGAATTCAATTGTTTATTTTCAGTTCCTGTCCTGCTTTAATGGTGGAAATCTGACATGACTGTGATTTCATATTCTATTTTTGACAACAAATTTCAAATTTTGCATGAGGTGAAATAAACCTGTCATACAGCATTTTGAAATGAACGAAACAAATTAGTGTTTTCAGTGTAGTTAGATATTATGTTATAACATGTGCTTTCAATTAAGGATAACTGAATAAAATCAAAGGGATAAATCTTGGAAACAGATTGCACCAGTCAAGCATCACATTATCTTAACCTACCCTACCCTCTTCTCTGACAGAGATTACAGGAGATTATTAGTCTCCAGCTAGTGAAACTGGAAAGGACTATAGTGTTTGTCGTCTTCTGTATTGTCTGTCTCTCTGTCCGTCTGTCTGTCTAGATGGATGGATTCCAGATAACTTGAGTTAGGGATTGACCAATTAGGTTGAAACTTGATACAATGTTAGTTAAGTAGGAGACCTATTATGGGATTGTATTTATGGAGCAAAAGGTCAACCACAAAGGTTACAGGTACTAAAAATAGATTTTTGGTTTCCAGATGATAACTCGAGTTACAGATGCCCGATATTAATTCATCTTAGTTTATGATCAGACCGAGAGAATGACTGTGTTAAGGCTGCTGTCATTAAATTCTCAGATCGAGAGTATGATTGTGTTAAGGCTGCTGTCATTAAATTCTCAGACCGAGAGAATGACTGTGTTAAGGCTGCTGTCATTAAATTCTCAGATCGACAGTATGATTGTGTTAAGGCTGCTGTCATTAAATTCTCAGATCGACAGTATGACTGTGTTAAGGCTGCTGTCATTAAATTCTCAGATCGACAGTATGACTGTGTTAAGGCTGCTGTCATTAAATTCTCAGATCGACAGTATGACTGTGTTAAGGCTGCTGTCATTAAATTCTCAGATCGACAGTATGATTGTGTTAAGGCTGCTGTCATTAAATTCTCAGACCGAGAGAATGACTGTGTTAAGGCTGCTGTCATTAAATTCTCAGATCGAGAGAATGACTGTGTTAAGGCTGCTGTCATTAAATTCTCAGATCGAGAGTATGACTGTGTTAAGGCTGCTGTCATTAAATTCTCAGATCGACAGTATGATTGTGTTAAGGCTGCTGTCATTAAATTCAGATATCCATTACTGAATTATCATTTCACAATATCTACAGTTAAAATAATGCTCGTTGACAGTACCTGAAAATTGATGTTTATCACACTCATTCGTTTTCCGTCATGACAGCTTCTGCCAAAAAAAAAAAAAAAAAAAGAAAGAATTAAATTTTATCAGTAATCTATTTCTGATCTTTGATTCAAACATACTTCAAAATGAAATCAACGTTTACATGATATTGGGTGACGTGCTAGTTAGAATTCCCATGTCATGTTCCAATCAAAGTTTTTGAAAAGTTGCTTCAAAAATGCTAATTATGGCATGGCTGGGGACATGTGTTGCTTGAAACATGAATTGTTACCTTGTTTTAAAAGTGAAGGCATAGTTTTCTTGTGACGTCACAGATATATATATATGTCTCCCTTGTAAGAGATCAAACTTTTGAATTCCTACCGTGTGAAGATGATTTAGGATTTAAAATACAGAATATGGTAGAACTGTCAATTAGTTGTTAAACTTTTATGATTTGCTATACAGCAGGGCAACTACAGTGATAAAAGCAATCGTAAGTCTTTGTTTTAAGTCCATGTATCAGTTACAAAATTTACTGAAGCTATCCATGCATGACATTTCTGGGTTACAATTGACATCTATAAGATAAATATATGTATTTATATATTTATTTGAATTTAAAAACAAAATATTAACATGGCTACGAAAATTCCTAATCACAATCACTAACATTTTCAAGCCTTGTGGTCATCCTCGGGTGATTACATTGATGTCATAAGTATGTTACAAAGAAACCTACATCATGACGCAATATTATTGTCCAATATAAGGGGAGTTCGGGCTTGAAAACATTATTGATTGTGATCTGGTATTTTAGTTGCCATGGTAATATATTGTTTTTTATATTTATATGTATGATATAAAAAGCGTTTTTCTTATTTCAGTTATATTTATATATACATATATGTAATTGATTATTCTGGCTGTGATCGTGTGTATTGTATATAATGGTTTACTTCAACTTTTCTGTTAAAAAATTATAATCATAATATCCTAGTTGATAAATTTGGGGGGAGGGGCATTTAATTTTGATACATTTGTGATCGGTTAAGACAGCATGAAATTAAATACACATTTCTACAATGGATGAAAATCTCAGAATTTTTTTCCTGTATACATGGACACTAGTTCATAGATATGTTTTACAATTCCTGTAAACTCTGAACATCAGAGTGATACAAAATAAATCAACTATTCAGGAATACAATCTTTATCACTATACTAAATAGGGACATTATTATTAACAAAGCTTGTGGAGGAAGGGGTTGTAAAAGCTCAGTCAGTGATCTGCCGCAGGCTCTACAATCACAGCTTAAAGAGTTGAAGTGGTTAGTTTAACAATCCCAACATGGGATGGTTTGTATCGGTCAGGAAGCTGAGATCTTAGACTGTCCAGTGCAAACTTGTCCTTAAGGGAGAGACTTTTTATATACTGTAAATTGATATGATTTCGCAAATAATTTATCTCGTGAACTTACTTCTTCAGACATATTTACGAATACATGATTTCGTGAGTGCTGATCTAGAAATTACTTTAAATTCAGGAATGATTAGCTATTAGATATTTTGATTCTGCAAGACAACAATATTGGTTATTTATAAAAATAACAGATTTATGTCTTATGAAAATTATAATTATTTCATCAAAAACGAAAAACTTTATTTTCTAGAAATCTTCTTTATTTTTGTCCTGACTTCACAAGACCAGAAATGATTTTATTTACATTTATATTGAAAGCACACCTGAATGATTTACATCTAAATATTTTTTGTAGAAGCCCTTGATTTTCATCTCATTCACCTTTGAATGCTTGTAGCCATGAAATATATGTAATATTCAAGTCTTTAATTGTATAGCTTGAGATGATACACACTCACCAAACAAAGAATGAATATTTTTGTGTAATAAACCACAGGAAAATTGGGTAATGTGACATGACTGACGTTGTACCTTAGGAAATCTCAAATGCAGTTATTCAGATATCTAAAAGGTTTTGGTGTCCAATTTCTATTATTTTATAAGCCGTTTTTGTTTTTTTTTAATTCTCAAGTAATAATAAAACAATTAAAAATGTGAAAAAAAATTTGAAAATTTGCTAAAAAAGTAATGAAGAGAAGATTTATTTTAGAGACTGATCTGTCTACAGAGTCAAATGCTTATGTCACTTTGAAATGTTTTTTAGGCCAAGGTCACAGGCAGTAAGTCGGAGGGAAGTTTTGAGGAAGCATTACAGAGTGAAAAGGCCAAAGAAGGAGGTGCCAATGGAACTACAGTGCCAGAAGCAAAGTCGTCATTACCTGAGGAAAAAATTCCACTATGATTATAAGACATTTGTGTCGACGTGACCAAGGTTCACACTGAAAAATGTGCCGATCAAAAGCTTATTATGTGAAATCTTTGTCTAATGAAAGCTTTCCAAGCAAAATCTGCATCACCTGTACGTTTGCAATGCGAAATCTTATTACTTGAAAGCTTTTAATACGACAAGGATTGACACACTAAAAAAAATTTCTTTCAATTCCAAATCTGCATTAGATGAAAGCTTGCAATTAATATTAAGTCAGCATCAACTGAAAGTTTGTGATTTATGACTTTTTAGGAGTCTGTGCCCCAAAGTATGTTAATACCTATGTCAGATATTTACAGAAACACTTTTCTAATACTAGCCCAGTATTATTGTTAGTCAATCCCATCCAGACCAGTCACTAGTATAATTACAAACCTATCGAAATCTCAGACCAAAAGGTTACAGAATTTCAACCTGCGTTTTTTTTTTTAGTTTTAAGTTATCGATAAATTGTCAACGTTATTGTTTTGTGTGTTATTCATATTACTATGTTTATTAAGTATATGATTAAGTAGTGCTGTTTTTCGTTTGAAGTGGACGTTTTCTGTCCGTATGGTCTTTTGGCACATATATTTATAGCATGCATTCACTGCATTAATCTTTATACTCAATAGATATGTTACAAGATAAAAACAGTCATTCATTATATCTCCTTTTTTGAATTGATACAAAAACTTTCCAAATTCATAAATTATAGAGACGTAGCTGAATTATACCAAGAATAAGATGATACATGTATAACCAGGGTCTGATTTCATTACTGACTGTCTGAATAGGATCTTTATAGACCGCAAGAAATTCAAATTTGAAAGAAAAAGAATCTGATTTAGAATTCTAATGTTCACGAGGGACCAGAAATTAATTTCATTCGATGATATATCCTGGGATTGTTTTTATATGAAATAAAGATATACAGCATGCAGCCATGTTACTCACACATTAGTTTTACGAAAGCTTGCTGCAGTTAATGGAAAGTTGAAGAAAGTAAATATCTTTCCTTATTATTAATTCAGGAATTCCAAGGAAATGAGTTTACACAATAAGACCTGCAGTTTGTATGGGATCATTTCTCTTATTGACAACATTGTATATATACATATAAAATGTATTGAAAAAAATGTTGATTACATCAGTGTTCTCTACTTGTATTGTACATGTTGAAATTTTTATTGTATTGATGAAGTGGGTGTTGGACTGGTTCAAAAAGTTCAAAGGTCAGAGGTTTGGATCATGGTCTGGTTGAAGCTTGTTCCCTGTCCTATTTAAGTAATGTATGTCAAGAGATTACCTGAACCCTGAGTTGTAAATACACCATTGCTTTTTTGTGTCTTGAATCCATGGCCAAACCTTAGAAAATAATGACAGAGTGTAATGGAATGGGGATGTATGTCTCTCTCTCTCAGCTGGTTAAATCATCTACAGATTGGAGGTTTCCAATCCTGAGCTGGCCCTGTTGTATTTTCCCCTTTTCTGTTTTCTAAGTAATGACATTTTACATGGAGGTGGAGCTTATGAGGAAAAGACAGAAAATTGTCATCAAATATTTGTGAAACATGTTCTGTAGTTTGCAGGAAAACATTATACACTTGTTGCTGGTAACGCCAATATTTCATTACATGAATGACAGGTTTTCAGTAACCAAGACTACATGTTGGTGAAGTGATGTCAAGAAAACACAAAAGTCTGATATTAGTGAGAGTTCACTCCCCCAGTGTGAAGTATTAAGTGTTTCTCTAATTGATCAGTGTTACTTGAATGCTTTGGTACTAGTATAGCTTCTACTTCTACCTTCGACTCATTACAGTTGATTTTTTCTGTATCGGGGACATTTTCTGTATTTCTGTATTTCAGGGTGAATAATTGGTCTTTTTATGGTCAAAAACAAGATAGCTTCAATATTCCACTATAACTGTTCATGCAGTTTCAATATTGAAGAGAAGAAATTAAAAATTTAATTTTCTTAACCACCTCTCCTTTATCTGTTGGTTTTGTACCAATTGTTGTAATTTTCAATCTAGCTGTCCTTTTATGTGTTAACAAATGATATGAATAAGAGAAGAGAGCATCAGTGTGTTTCAGTTTTGTAAATACTTGTGTATTTTATAAGAAATAATTTGGATTTGTTTGTATCTTAACAAGTGCTTTATTGGATATGCCCATTGACCGTTTGCTCTATTTTATTTTAACTACCGTATGATTAAAAATAAAGATGTTTACTGTTCAATTGTGAAGTTCTGTGTGGAATTTATCATTGTTGATTCCATGGGTATATTTATTGAGCTGTAAATATTCATGAAATTGGATGTCCACAAAAAATTGACTTTTTTGAAAACCATGAAAACTGACCTCACAAAATATTTCACAGTACACGTATTAAAATAAAAAATATTGCATCAAAGCTAAAACGTTGTGAGATCCTGGAAACAGATATATACATTCTTTTTTCACAAACAGACATTGTATATAACTTCAGCTTAATTTCTAGTCATTTTGCATTGTGTGAAATTGTTTTTAAACATCTTGAGGCCAAACAAAATTGTTTTCATTTTCTATTAAAGAAAATTATTATCTATTATATTTGGGAAAGCAATATATATATATATATATATATATATTTTTTTTTTTTAGTTTATATTGTGAACTTTTGAAAAAAAAAATTTCGATAGAAGTTTCTGGAGGCAGAATTTTAGACTGTAGTTTTTAAATAAAACCAAAAAGTTAAGCACTAAGTTTGGCATGGATAAATTGGAAATTTCATTTTTTCCTTTAATATTTTTTACTATATTTCAAAATTGTTATACTTGTTATATAAACTAATATTCCCTCTATCTCTGTGATAACTTATAACAAATGCATGTCTTACTTTCATATTCTTACCATAGTTTGAAATAAACTGCATATGGCTCGTGACAAATGCAGTATATATAAAAGGGAAGTTCACTTACAATGAAATTATGTAATCTTCATGCATTGTTGTTTGCAATACTTTGTATTTTTTTGCAATGGCCTTCTTTTATCAGATTGATTTCTGAATTAGAATTAGTCACATTTTGACAAACTGTACACACCGTTATCTATCATTGTCATATGGGGAAAAAAATTTCTATTTAAATTAAATTATATTCAATTATACTGTACATATATATTTTTTTTAGGAAAATAATTTTGGTTTTACTGAAGAGGAAAAATATATGAGATATTTGAAATCCTTCAAAAAATGTATTGTAAAGATCAAGACTATTCTAGTGTTCTAGCTAAGACAACATCATTTCTAAGATGTCTGTAAATAACAACTAAATACACTTACACACATGACATTTAGTTTCTTTTTCAATTATTGTACATAACATAACAATGCAATACAATGCAAGTAAAACCTCCATATACTGTCACCATATGTTGGTATATTGACAAAGTCCTCCTTATACTGCCAATATCTGACACCTTGCTATATTGTCAACATTTGATATTAAAAGCTAGTCATGTTGTCAACGTTTAAGAGTAAAAATCTTGTATTGTTAAACTTAGGTGAAGAAATTTCAGTGTAAAAACTTGTTATGCTGTGTAAAATCTTTGTCAGTATGTTTCACTGTCAACATTTGACAATAAGACTTTGCTATACTGTTGTCAGTAAAGATTTTTCACCATCAAATCCAATGACTCTTTTCACTTCCTGTCATGGATTTCATTACTCGTTATCTAACAAAGTACATAGTACAAAGTGAAATGACAGATTGGTTTTAAGCACGTAGCACCTTAGTAAAAATTCGCGCCATTACTAGATATCATGGTTATACGACATCATTGTCTAATGTTGCCATTTTGTTAAGTTTGACTAAACAAGGAAGACAATAAAGAAATGCAAGGTCAGTGCGGCAAATTTTGATGCAATAATATTTGCAATAACATCTACAGATGTACTCTTTAATACATCCAACTCCTGTAGTCAATATGGACTCTTGAGAACTGCTGGTAGTAAGGGAGGTAAGAGGACATTATATAGGGGTTTTACTGTAATTATATGATATCGCTCCTATTTTGTTTATATAAAATTTGTGTCTTGTTAACCGTTTGTAGATAATTAAGATTAACGCAATGGGACAAGGCTTTGATTATAAACTTAATTATTACTTAGTCGAGTGGTCTACCAAAACAGATTTTATTGTGTTGTGAAAAGAGATTATTCTCATGTTTTGCAGTAGGTATTTTACAATACTCTGTTTTTTTAAGTCTTGCCTAAATTAAGTTATAAGACATTGTAATATTAGGCTACATTTTTGTGTATTTCTCTTTGCCACCTGTAATTGAAATCAGAATATTGCTGAAATATTCTATTTCATGTTGGTGAGCATCAACCAAATATGAATTGAAAATCCTTTCCAGACAATTTATCGTAAAAATTTGATAGATTATTGTTGAAGAAAAGAACATTTTATAGAATTTACAACACCAACACAAGTATGAAATATGAATAGAATTGAAAAGGATTATGTTTGATTTCCAGGTGTTTATGATAAATCATCTTATACAAAATAAGGGTATGTAAACATGTTTTTTGTGTTTTGGTTATTGATATCATTAACTTTTTCAGTTCTGTTCCAACAATGAGGACTTTTCCTTTGATCAATGACTAACAAATCACAGAAATTATGATGTAGATATTTTATCATTTCAGCCTACTTTGCCCGTTATGTAAATTTTGATTTGTAAAAATATCATTCCATTTTAGAAAGTAGATTTGGATGCATATATCTTATTTTTGTTCCACATCAAAACGTAAGCTTATTGTATGGGCAGTTGCTTCAATCACTTGCCGACAGTTAATTGGATGTTTGATGTATATTGGTCAGGAAAGATGGAAGGTTTATATAAAACACTCCAACACGAAATGTATCTTCCATGGTAAGCATTGTTAATCATTAAACAAAATTAAAAAAAAAATGTATGATTTAATGTCTGTTGTCTCTTTCTTGTTTGTATGTTCATCTCATCAAAATATAACTCATGTCGTCTTCTAAGGAAAGCATGATGACATGTGCATATGACATTGAGTTATCTGCTTGTCATGCCATTAGGTAGTCTTCATAGAGACAGATCATTTTCCAATGTTTTGATTAATTGCTGATAGCATTAAACACACAGCTGACTGAAGTTCAGAGGGGTCAGGCCTATTATGTAAGGTCAATGGCAAGGACAGGTTGCCACACATTTCAGTATCCATATCTGCACTATAGAACGTCTTGTTAAGATGTCTAAGGGTGACTGGTCAGGTTGCTAACAGACCTAGGTCTGGGCATCATGGCTTGATGTCTTGACAGGTTTATTCGTCTCATGCAACCAGCATCTTACTGCCACTGAATCTGCCCTTCATACCATAGATACTCATCACCATCGTATCCATGCAAAAACTTCGGTTTACGGGTGGATCAGTTATGGTGTGGAGAGGAATCTCACACTGGAGTTAAATCATCAATGGTTTTGGTAGTGGGCAATTTAACTGCCACTAGGTATAGAGAGAAGATCCTCCAACTCCATGTTGTCCCATTATTGCAGCAAAACAATCTCGCATTCCAGCAGGAGGAAATGCTTGGCCCCATACAGCAATACAGCCCCAACCTATCCCCTTCTGATCATTTGTGGGACCAGCTGGATAGACAGGTTTAACAATGCCAGCCTTTCCTAGTTACTCTGAGAAGCCCTCTTGGAAGAATGGGCCAACATCCCAATGAGGATAAAGTCACTCATGAACTCCATGCTTAGGAAAATCAGGGCTGTGGAGAGCAAATGGGTACATACCCAGTATTGACTAGCTAGCTCCCCTAATCAGACCATTTCAGATTTCTCTTCCATTACTCAAATAATTCACCAGTTACAAATCGTTAATTTTGCAGTTCTATATGGATTAATCTTCATTCTTGAACATTATACTCAACGTCTTGCCTCAAGTTAAGTTTACCCTGCGTTTCTTTGTCCCGCGAGTATATTTTTAACTGGATTGGTTTTAAGCAATTCCTGTGCATATTTATTCATGCTTCCAGCGGATATCAAATTTTTCACTATTTCCACTTCATAACTCTTTTGAAATTTTAATATGACTTTTCTGTTATTGTGCCAACCATTCAAATAAAAAAAGGGTTTTTTTTTTGAGAAAGCTGTAAAGTTCATACAATCTCCTTTAATTTCATTAACAAGTACTTGGCAACAATGAAAGTATATTAACTGTCAATTTGATGGTAATTTGCTAGAAGTAAATATTGATTTTTTTTTGAGGTTGTGAACTATTTGTGTGACTGTTACTTATGAATTCCTTTAGACAACACAATAAACACATGCTGTTTTTGTAAAATTTTTATTATAATGAGAATTTAAATGAAAATAATTATATTAATAATGACAATAAAATAAATGATATTTTTTTCTCTCTTTTTTTTTTTGGGAACTTCTCAGTAACATATAAAACATATGATAGAGAACAGATGAAGATGTCCCTACATACATTTCTCCAAACTCAAAAAACACTTTGGAATTCCTAACTTTCACACAATCCATAGCCATACCCATTCATACATGATTTGAAAAGACTCACCATATTGCCCTTGATATAAATAAATGTTCATAAATATATCATGTTCCAAATTTAGACTGATTTACATTATTAACATCGTAAATATGAACTTTCACACAATTTAGGTGTCACACGTATGTGTCCTAATTTAAAGAGAGGTAACATCATTCCATGACATTCATAAATACAACCTAATCCTAATTCAGATCAATTGATACTTCTTTTTGTACCTTAAAATTGGTCGGTAGTGAGACAACCATTTTAGCACTTAAAGGGATTTAATATGTCTCGCACAATATGAAAGAAAATACATATTCAAAAATTAGGATTCTGTCACATAACACCAGAAAAGTTCTGTGGAAGCATGAAAATAGTTACAAATAAATTTCCATCGACATGGAATTTTACCTATCAGCTTAAAAGTGAAAGCAGTAATGTTCTTACACATACAAGCACTGTGCATAGAAAATTATAACAAGTTTCATTCAAACGAATTCTTTTCAAACTCTAAATCATTCTTCTTTGATTTCAGATCCTAGAAAATAATTTTGTTGCATAATCAAGAATGTGAGACTACTGTGTGCAATTTTTACATGCAAGTGAGATGATTTTAGCTGCTGCTGCTTGTCCCAGCCACACTTTCCACACACACTCCTGTTCTACCTGGGCCTACATTCAACCACTGGAATTCTCTTAACTGGAAACATAGTGTGCCTCTTCAATGTAAATTTTTTGGTTCCTAACTTATTTCCCCATGATAAAATGATTCATGTCTTGTTTACTTTTCTCCTTTCCTGAAAATATAAAGACGAGACAATGGTAAATATGGTATATCCTGACCTAACAGCAAAAGAAATTAAATTCACTTTCACTTCTATGAATTTTATTGCATAAAAAAAATGAATCCACGTCTACATTCACGGAGCTGATTTTGATGAGAAAAAGCACGAAATAGGACTAGATGATTGTACGATGATGGTCATAACTCGGGACTTATGACAGCATTTCCTTTCTCTCCACTACTGGATATCAGAGGAAAAACTTGTCTATATTTACCTTCTAGCTGCTATGCTACTGAGTAATCGGTTGCCAAATATAAAGAGTGGAATGCTGATGAGTCCCAGGTATCTCAGAGTATCAAACATAGTGAGGTGAGTCCAGTAACAGTAGTACAAGGCAAACACACCTTAAATGGAAACAAGATCATGTGATGCAAAGCTAGAGAGACTGTAACAAAGACAACTAAGTCTGGAAAGAATATTTAGGATACATGCATGAAATAATCATTTGTTAATAAATGAAAACGCTTCACAATTTTGTATATTTTTGTATCAAGGATTCTGATTTCTCAATTTCATAAGATGTTATTTGATTTCAATGGTAATAGCCTGTGAAGTATCCCAAAAGTGTTGATTAAAATGTAATAAAATTGACAACAGAAGGAGATAGGGGTTTAAACATTAATCCTGTCCATTGTTTTCTGAGATTATGATATTCCTTTTGTCTCAATAAAATAGATTTCTCAACTTGTTGGTCAGGGACTTACCTCCAAGACACAAGTGAAATCCAATAGCGCTCATGGACATGGGAAAGTTACTAATGTTCGCTCCAATCTGCATCCACTGGAACAGGAGCAAATTAAGGTAGAAAAGCTTACATATACATATATCACACAGAAATAAATGGGTGACTGATAGTCATCAAGGCCAGTGGTATTGTGGCTTGTGACTCAATTTAACATTGTGTAAAAGTTAAAACTTGTTAGTATGGGAAACATGCTATCAGCAAATTTTTTCAGCAAGGTGATAACACATACATGCCATCTTGATTCTGATATCGTTTCAAAACATCATGTAGCATGCTCCTGTAAAAACATTTCACAACAAAAATGAAGCCAGCATCCACACAACATTACAGACTTGTTTTCTTGTTCTCCAGAGTGGTTTTTCCTCGTACAGCTACGCAAATATAACAACCCAGTGTATATATATATATATATTTTTCTTTTGAAACGTTTAGTTGAAGTCCATATGATGGAATATCTAAGCTGACAATAATGAAAATAGCCATCCTTGATTTACAATTGGCACAAAAAAGGAAACATTTGTCTTCTGCGTGTGATATTTATTACACTAAGCATGGTTATATATAGTTAAATGATGTATGACTTTGTGACCTAATAGTTGCAAGAAAAAGATGTTGAATTTTCTGCAACACAATAAATGATACTGGAAAACACAAGATGTCTTACAAGCACAACACCACAAAACAGTGTCAAGACTTATAGCAACAGCACATTTAACATCACTTGACCTGGGCAGTTACCAAAACTCTGGGGAGACTGAAGCATGATTCCATTGTTATTGTCTTTTTGTACACCACCATTCCTTGTTTAGATTCGATGAGTAATGGGGATGTTTGACATGCTATCAGCAAATTATTCAATGTATTAAAATGGGTGAACGACTTTCTGATATTGTTTCAAAACATCACACAGCATGCTTCCTAAACTGTCTCCATGCTTTCTGTTGAAGCTCCATCAACCACACTGTCTCGTCTAATAAAGATTATTTGTCTGATGAATGTGCCAAATTACAAACTAGTATATCTAAATTTCAGACGTGAATAGCTCTATATAACAGTGGCTACTCAACCACAGATCCTTTAAGAATCTTGGAAACTACAAATGTTTGATCTTTATTTGTTCTTAAGAATTCAGATCTTTTCCCTTCTTTCTTCTGTTTTTAGTTTTTCTCTTCATTATATATGCAAATCTCAAAATTCCTTTTTGGAAAAACTGGCAATTATCTTTATCTGTTAACTCAAATATGGTCAATCGTAGGTCATTTTGTTCATCTGATCAGTTCCAAAATCAAAAACGCAAAACTAGGGATCATGGAAGACCTTCACTTGAAATTTGACAAAGATCCATCCCAAACTTTAAGTAACAGTTCTTAAAGAATTACTTCAGAACTGACGACTGACAAACAGATAACGAGCACAGGGTGATTTTAATAGCCCACCATCACCATCCGAGTTGCTGGGCTTAAAACATGCATTATACCAGTGTAATTCAAATTCAACACCTCACAAGTCAAACATATCAGGCATCCTCACAAATGTTTTTCAAATGTTTGTCCATATCTAATGTAATGTATCCACACAAATCTGTTCTCAGTTCTATTCCTATGCATTGTTTTCACTAATAATAAAAATTCAGTACACAAATTGCTTTTTTAATGCTAGCTTGATTCTCTTCAATATATCTCACAGTGAAAACATTTTAATAACCGAATTAAACAGATTGGCACAATGAAAATATTTGTTTTATTACTTTTCCAACTCTTAATTTTGAACCGAAGAAGCAAAAAAATTTGAATAAGGGGATAAACCCACTGGGCAAGCCAAAACTTTTTGTTTCTGTTACCCAATCATCCCCTTATTCTTCAGCCTACCTTTAACTTCCATTTCAATTCTTAAGGAAGCATATTTAGAAAATGAAAAATTCATTATCTAACTACCCTACCCTACCTACCTACAATCCTAGATTTTTCAAGTATGCAACAGAAACATTTGTAAAAGCTTCATCTTGTATAATAAATCTTCATTTGACAAATGGTGTGAAATTGAATGTTGACTGGTGAGTATACATACCAAGAACAGAAGGATCAGTGCAGGCAGGAAGACCAGGGCTGTAAATGTCATGGATACCACTGCTGGAGGTCTTTTCTCCGCCTCACGGAACACGTGCTACAAAAGAAACACACAGGTTATTTACCAAAGGACTCAATGAAACAGTTGTCTTATCAGTATGTTTCATACTTGTAACCAACATCTTTCCATATTCCAATACCTATGCTAGGATTCAAACCCGAGACCGATGATTCACTAGACTTGCGCTAAATTGATCGCGAAATAGAAAGGATCTATCAAGCCGAGCTATATATCACAACTAGTATTTACCAGGGTTATGATGTATCTACATAAAATATCCTAGTCAGTGCACCAGGTAGGCCGTCAACATGTATATACAGTACTGGTTTATGGCGATATTGAAATGAAACAAAATATCATTAATATTTTAAACAGGCAGACGATTTCTTCCAAACCACAGAGATTCACTTTCTTTATCAAGTATAACATAACCAATCTTTAACAATAGGTACCAAAATCTTCTTTGAAAGGCTAATTGCTAGAAACTTTGCAGTATAACCAACCTTGATCTCTGGTTTCTTGGTATATGGGCTCTCACCGGATTTCTTTTCGGCAGTTTTCTCGGGGAAGGCCAGGTTAACATCAGCCTGAAATAGGTATATACACCAACAATAAGAGTATATTTATGCTTCAACAAATTAATCTATGAGAAAAAAGGATATACCACAAAATCTAAAAAGATTCAAAGAAAAACAACATAATCCAAGAAACATGCGAAATATGATGTGAAGCAATGTATTTGAATAAGAGGGTCAAGCAAATATTCTTTTAATTATAATTATTTTTTTTAAATTTAAGGTCATTAAAAAAATCCTTTTGTGCCCTGCATGGTCTCTCTACCCTGCCATTGTCACATAGTGACTACAGGAAGTTGATGGAATATACAGGGCCTCGCCCACACCCTACTAAGGCCGGGGGGCTCTCGGTAGGGGGACAGAGTTTCTCTCCAATGTGGTGGAAAGGGAATATACCTCAAGTCCCCATAGGGTCATTCAGCTCCCATACGCCACACAGACAGAGCCAGGCCAAATCTGACACGAGGTCAAATAGCCTAGATGTCAACATTGGGCATTGCATTTGACAAAAGCATAAAAGAAAGATTTACATTGCACTCTAGGAAGACCCATTAAATATTTTATCTATATTTCACCTGGTTTTCCTCATTTGCTACACATTAAAAAAATTGACAGATCAATCCAGAAGAACTAAGCATTTTGAAGTTATATACAGACTTTCAACATCGGAGCTCATTATAGAGCTATTTACTTACCATAGTCCAAGAGAATGGGTTCTCCACAACTGCATCACCAACAACCAGCTCCATACTGTATTTACCGGACTGATGACCGAAGTCAGATGCACGTGCTCCTACGTCCTGAAAACATGTTAGAGTCAGTATTGATAAGAATATGGGATTGAGTTTTATGAATAAGTCAGTAATGATAAAAATTATGGGATTGAGTTTTATAAATGAATCAGTAATGATCAGAATTATGGGACTGAGTTTTGTAAATAAATCAGTAATGATCAGAATTATGGGATTGAGTTTTATAAATGAATCGGTAATGATAAGAATTAAGGGATTGAGTTTTCTAAATTAATCAGTATTGATAAGAATTATGGGATTGAGTTTTATAAATACCTATCTTATACTAAATGACATAATAACTGAAGAAAATTGCTTTATCTGTCCAACAAATGTTAATATTTATATATCTACTGATTTTGTGCCTACATTTGTAGTTATTCCTTATTTCTAGACAAGCTATATTTTTGTCTGAAAAATATTTTCTTTATAAATATGTACAAATAAGCAAATTACAGTAAAATCCATTGATAGCTAATGACAGTTTGAAATAGTATGACAGCAACTAAAATCAGTGAAATATATATGAATTGGAGTGACGCACAATAAAAAGTCATAGCATCACCATTATGTTTAGAATTTACAGACATGCAATATTAAAGTAAAGAGTTAACTAGACATAGATAACAAATAACAGCGACTTTATTATATTTTAACAAACATTTCTCACGTACCAGATCAAACTTGTACGAGTCTCCTGAAGTCTCGGCTACAAAAATGATCTCTTGCTGTGTCTTTTGGTTAGTCATCTTAACAAAGGTCTGATGAGCCGAGAGTGGTTTACCAGACACCTTCTCCTTAAGTTGGAACTTCATCACAATCTTCTGATGGTAATCTGCCTCAAAGGCATTAGCAGCCTTGTTGGGATGTTGTATCCTATCACAGAAATCAAGAGGTATTACATACATCTCTCAACAAAAACAGTAGGTTGGACTGTTTCGGAGTTCTAACCAAAACTTGGGACAAATGTGTAAATGATTAAAACTGAACCCTAAAATATAAACTACTGCGCTACCTAAACATCTGCTGAAAGCCATCTTAAGATACTGAAAAAAATTCACAAGAAGATACCTATACTGTTATTCATAAAATTACTTTTTTTGCATTCTATTTTTATTTCTCTCTCTTTTTTAACTCCCTGCACCTTCCAATGGAAATATGCCGACAAAAAAATTAGAACTTTAATACAAGAGGCTGTTCCCTTGGTTGACTTGCAGCCCTAGTCACATGATTTTTATGTTTTGACTTATCAACCTGTTGTAAATATTAAAGGAAAACCTACCACACTGATTAAGTATTAAATCTCTGTCAAGGTCCTATCACCATTTACTCACATATTTCAAGACTTAAACTACAGATCTTTTACTTTGATAAAATGCATTTTTCTTGAACAGATCTAATGAATTTTCAAATGACTGCCTGAAAGCAAATTTTGAATTCAAAATATAACGGCATAACAGAAAGGCACTTCTGTAACTGCCTAACACCGTTCTTGATACTTTCTTTTCCTTTAGCCTTTTATTCAAATGTTAAGTGATTTTCACCGATTAAATACAAATGCCTTCCTATGATAAATATTTTTACAACTGCAAAAGCTTGAACAACAAAAACAAGAAAGAGGGCAAGAAAAAGCATCTCAAGGGGAATGACAAAGGGGCTTTTTGTTCAATGCTTGTAAATATATGGATATTGTCGAGGGAATGACGATGGACTCCATTTGAAGCATTTGTTTCATAGCAAGGAAATACCCATGTATAAGCAAAAAGAAAGCACCGAGGACTTAAGGGATCAAATGTTAACAGAGCAAATGGAATTCAGGACACCATACTGAAGAAAACGGATTTCATTTAATATATATGTCACTTGGTTTCACATAAGAAATTCCTATAGATGCAGCTTATTCTTCAACAAGGATTTAATTGGGAGGTTTGGTTGGTTTTTGGGTTGTTATCAGGAACTCGGGGCTGTTTGAATATAATTATGGATAAAACAAATCACAGATTTCCCCATATATTTGGTATCTAGACCTAACTCCCATGAAATCTTTACATTATATTTTAAATATGATACATGTAGCTTTTTATTACAGTGTAGTTGAATTACATTTAATAATATAAAATTTCTAATTGAAATCTGCTCCATTTCCCATGAACTTTTTACATAACGAACATAACAAGGAAATATTTTTTCAAGATTGATAAAAACACAATTGATTGCAACAAGATTGATCAGGACATGATAGGTCAGGACAGGATTATCAAAAAAGATTTAGCAGGAAATATTGATCAAGATTGATAAGGAAAAAAATGATTGGGACAAGATCAATGAGGACAAAACTGAAGTCTTGTCATTTAACATTACAAAACTCAATGCTTACTGGTCCTGTCTTTGAGGCCTGAGAAAGTTGCATGTTAGTAAAGATATAACAGATTTAGCACAAAACACACACACACAACATATCATAGACAGTGAAAATGTTTAGATTCTGAAAAAAGTCAAACAAAAGGAAGAAATTTGTAAATAAAAAAAAATAAAGACTTTGTTGATATTAAAAGAAAAGATCATAGACATGAAAAACTTCACAAAAACTAATATTTATTATGTTTCATTAAAACAGACAAGATAAAAAATTTAGAAGACTCAGGTGAACCTAAACTGCCGACTTACTTTGTGGTTCTAGCAGCAGTTGTCTGATCCTTGTCTGCCACACCCACTTCCACATTTTCTACAGACACTTGAGTTGTCACTTTTACCTCAACCTTGGCAAAAAACGTTGAACATCAGGAATAAAGAATATGTAAGTCTACAAAGACTTATGGCAAATAATGAAGAAAATATTGATCTTATTTAGAGTTTTCAGTTTGTACCCTGCATGGTCTCTCTACCCTGCCATTGTCACATAGTGACTACAGGAAGTTGATGGAATATACAGGGCCTCGCCCACACCCTACTAAGGCCGGGGAGCTCTCAGTAGGGGGACAGAGTTTCTCTCCAATGTGGTGGAAAGGGAATATACCTCAAGTCCCCATAGGGACATTCAGCTCCCATACGCCACACAGACAGAGCCAGGCCAAATCTGACACAAGGTCAAATAGCCCAGATATCAACATTGGATAATGACTATTCCTTTGAAAAATCTACTAGACCCCAGAACTCCAAAAACAATCATCGTTTGGCTTTTGTCTATTACTACTAAGTAAAATATCAATCAAAGTCTAGGGTTTGTGCCCTTTACAAAACTTGAAGCCCTTGGGTTTCATTTGAATAGTTTTCATTAGGACATCATCTAGTTCATATTAAACACTTCGTAATGCTACTGGTGTTATTCTAACCTCTGCTCCAGTGGTACCAATCAGCCGGCTGTCTGCTTTCTTGGGAACCACACTGATGGTCAACTTGTAGAATCCTCTAGCTGGCTTTGTCTGCATAAAGTTCAGCTCGTACAGAGAACTGAAGTAAGAACATAAAATCAACATCAAAAACGACAATTTTCTTTACCTCAATTTCACAAAACGTGGTAAAACCCTGCGCAAAGCGTCTTATTTTACGACGTTTTGTGACCCCTCGAGTGGAATATCCACATCCCACACCTTAACATATGAAAGTCTTATAATACAGAATTTTCAAAAAATACTAATGTACAATTATAATAAATATTTTATTTAGTCTTCAATTTCCCTTTTCTTTCTCAACTTTTTAAAACCAGTTTCCATCAGATCACAGCTACTACATTAACTGATACTGTATGCTAGGAGATTTTCTTCCCCTTATAATTTTCACCCATTCAACAATGACCATGTATAACCCTTTCATGTAATTCTTAGAAGGCAAAGTGAATACAAGGCAATTATGTATTATGGAAAAAGGATGAAAATAACCCGTTATACAGTATTCCAAAGGATGGCAGAGGATATATTGTAAATAATTGGTACAAGAGCCCTTGGCAACACAATATAGTAACCTTGCCAACCAGTCCTTATATCTAATTATAAAATGTTTAAATAATTTCAAGAAATATCATTTTTCTTCTGGCATAATCATGTACAAGAACCTTTGCATATTACCAAGTGTTAACAATTCAACAATACTTAATAGCAACAAATGAAACGAACATTATGTGTACCCTGCATGGTCTCTCTACCCTGCCATTGTCACATAGTGACTACAGGAAGTTGATGGAATATACAGGGCCTCGCCCACACCCTACTAAGGCCGGGGGGCTCTCAGTAGGGGGACAGAGTTTCTCTCCAATGTGGTGGAAAGGGAATATACCTCAAGACCCAAAAGGACATTCAGCTCCCATATGCCACACAGACAGAGCCAGGCCAAATCTGACACGAGGTCAAATAGCCTAGATGTCAACATTGGTCAATGTCAACTTTTAGAGAACACTTGATTTAATTAAAAGTTTGCACTACTGAGCAATTTTCAAAAATACAACAAAGATAGGAAGTTACCAGCAGTTAATTTTCTCTATTTACTGAATGCACATAAAACATTTCAAGTTAAACATAATGGAGTAGTATAAGTGGAAAACTTGTGATCGATGTGAGAACAAATGCTTTTAGTCATTTAATTTCTAAAGTCTGACTTAATAGGACAACCAACCTGTCGGTTTTACTGGCAGTGAAGGGCTTCTTACTCAGGACAATGGCTTCATCTCCAAGGTGACGAGCACTATCAGCAGTCACAGTCAAATCACCAAGGGAACCGCCCATCAGGTTGGTCACACGCACCTATCAACCAACATAGTGTACATGATTTCTACTCATTATTTAGATAACGTTTATACCTGTCTTTCTGCTAACTCCAGTACACTAACACAGTAACTTTCCTAATCCAGTATTTGTTTTTTCTTAGGCTACATCAATAAGCTAAATCCCCTTTTTTACTGACTTTTAGACTTTTCTTGAATGTACCTAAAATCAAAGTGTGATCATCAGATTCCTTACTAACTTAAGAAAGAATGAAAACTATTTGTTTGTCACTTTTAGTCCGACTCTCTTATAAGGCAGAAGATGGTCGGGTGGAAAGCAACACTTTTATATAGCACCCAACAGTGAACAATTCAGTCACAGACAGACTGATGTGTTAATGATCACCATCAAGTGCAAATATTATCTACGATATCAAATATCATCGTAGTTAAGAAACATTTACTTAGATAAATTGTATGTCCCTCGTGTCATATGCATGATTCAGAGCATCAGACAACTAGCATTAGGGGGTAAAGACTTTTTAGCTGATTGTATAATGTGACTAGGTAGGGTGTCCAGCTCCTTTGTACAGGTTACAAAAGTTTCCTGTGATAGCATCTTTATATGACACTATAAAAGAGACCTTGATTGTGCCCATCAACTGTGGATACCGTCTTTATTCATTTTGGCCTAGGTTGCATGGATGTAGAACACAAGACAAACAATCTTCCCTCTTGTAGAGGCTCAGAATTGTAGAAACTTTCACGACAACAGAACATACACAATTTTACAGTTTATAATATTTGGGAAAATGAATGAAAATCATGTGGAGTTCACATCATCTATTGTTTAAATAACTAACCCCTTGGACTAATCACCCCTCACAAAAAAAAAAAAAAAAAACAAAATTACTTGACAAAGAACTCCAAAATAAGTCAGTTCTTTCCATGGTTCAATTTCTTTTCTATTACTTCTATAAAGCAAATTATCAATTTATTTCTAAGAGTGGAATGCCAAGCAAAATTTAGAGTCTTTGAGTGGGGCAGATGTTTTACTGGGATAGTGACCATATAAAAATAGGGTGAATAAAGTTCTAGTATCAGGTCTAATAGTGAAAACATATCATAACAGGTGTGAAATTGCTTACATGATGCAGAAAGGAAATGGATCATTGTAAGTCTTTAAAGTCTTTTAGTTACTCTTTTAGTAGATAACTCGATGGAACACACTTAATTTAGTGAAGAAAGAAGTTGTTTGTCACTGTTAGTCCGACTCGCTTATAAAGCAGAAGATGGTCGGGTGGAAAGCAACACTTTTATCTAGCACCCAACAGTGAACAATCCAGTCACAGACAGACTGATGTGTTAATGATCACCATCAAGTGCAAATATTATCTACGATATCAAATATCATCGTAGTTAAGAAACATTTACTTAGATAAATTGTATGTCCCTCGTGTCATATGCATGATTCAGAGCATCAGACAACTAGCATTAGGGGGTAAAGACTTTTTAGCTGATTGTATAATGTGACTAGGTAGGGTGTCCAGCTCCTTTGTACAGGTTACAAAAGTTTCCTGTGATAGCATCTTTATATGACACTATAAAAGAGACCTTGATTGTGCCCATCAACTGTGGATACCGTCTTTATTCATTTTGGTCTAGCTGTTGCATGCATATAGAACACAAGGCAAACAACCTTCCCTCCTTGTAGACGCTCAGAATTGTAGAAACTTTCACGACAACAGAACATACACAATTTTACAGTTTATAATATTTGGGAAAATGAATGAAAATCATGTGGAGTTCACATCATCTATTGTTTAAATAACTAACCCCTTGGACTAATCACCCCTCAAAAAAGAATTAATTAATTGACTAAGAACTCCAAAATAAGTCAGTTCTTTCCATGGTTCAATTTCCTCTCTATTACTTCTATAAAGCAAATTATCAATTTATTTCTAAGAGTGGAACACCAAACAAAATTTAGAGTCTTTGAGTGGGGCAGATGTTTTACTGGGATAGTGACCATATAAAAATAGGGTGAATAAAGTTCTAGTATCAGGTCTGATAGTGAAAACAGTATATCATAACAGGGGTGAAATTGCTTACATGATGCAGAAAGGAAAAGGATCATTGTAAGTCTTTAAAGTCTTTTAGTTACTCTTTTGGTAGATAACTTGATGGAACACACTTAATTTAGTGAAGAAAGAAATTGTTTGTCACTGTTAGTCCGACTCTCTTATAAGGCAGAAGATGGTCGGGTGGAAAGCAACACTTTTATCTAGCACCCAACAGTGAACAATCCAGTCACAGACAGACTGATGTGTTAATGATCACCATCAAGTGCAAGTATTATCAATCCTGATCCAATGTAAGTTTTCCAGATTGAACATACCTGGTAAATGGATATCTTGGTTGATGGGAGAAGAATTAAATTAAATGCCATTTTATACAACAAATTTTGTTTACAAAGACAACACAGAAGGGTACTGTGGTCTATAGTGTACCAAAGTTAATGAATATGAATTAATTTTACAAGTGTCTTCTTAAACACATCTGGCCTATGTCTATATCTTAATGCCAATTGTGCCATGCAAGGGATACATCATTACATTTTGATCAAAATGGAAAATGCTGGGAAAGCACTTTAACTTTAACGGCTAAATATGTTGATGGAACAATTGGAAACAACACATGCATCACTTTATGTAATTCTGCACGTAACAATGAAAATATATTCTGCAACAGTTGTGAACATGGTTTATTTCATGACTCGTCGTAACTGTTCAGTTTCAAAATATTTCCTTTTTTTATGCTTTAGAAATTAACCAAATTAAACTTTTATTTCTCACCCCTGATTTTCTTGGTATCTGTTCAGGTAAGTCTTTCAATACACACATTTTATAGTCTACTTATGAATTAGCAACTTGTAATGAAGAATTACTTTCTTACTATAGCAAACTGCCTACTTAACACTTCTTATCAATATATTTTATTTTAAATGAAATATTATATTAACTTTGCAAATATTGTCACAATAGAATCATTAAACTTTTCTAAGTAAAATCTACTAGCTCCAGACATACGTAGTATACACATCTGAAATTATCATAAATAACAGTTGAATCACCTTTCATGGCTTATGATAAATTGATAAGCTAATGGCAGACTTCTCGGTGTCAACATCACTTACCTGCACCACAGATGACGTCTGACTGACAGCAACTGGACTTGCAAGAGTGACCGCAACAGGAATGTGATACTGAAATTAGTTTTAAATGAAAATAAATCAATATTGTACACATACTTGTTGTAAACACACAAGGCTAAAAAAACTATTTCCAAACGGATGAAATGTCAGTTAGTATGTCTTCCAAATATATCAACCACTGTTCAAAAACACAGGAAGAATCCCAGATAGTGATCTTATACACTCAATGACAACAGTCTTGCTTTACAAATAGATAAATTACAAAGATATCAAGTCTACTAAAAAAAAACAAAAAAAACAAAAAAAAAACAAAAAATGTTTGTCGCTCTTAGTCCGACTCTCTCATGAGACAGAAGATGGCCGGGTGGAAAGCAACACTTTTATCTAGCACCCAACAACCAACACTCCAGTCCCAAGATAACCGAAATGCATAAGATTGTCATCAGGTGCCAACAACTCTACCTGTTCAGTTAATAATATAAAACTCTATTCCATTCATATTTAGGTAAAAATACATTACATTTAAATGGTGAATACAGCCAAATATTCCATACATTTTATTCCTACATAACATTTGAATTCCCAATATACCTTCAAGACTGTTCTAACATTTTATAAAGGGTTTCATGCCTTAGCCATCAAAGTTACTGTTGTAATAGGCGTGTGCTTAATCGCTGTATTTTTATAGTATTGCTGTTACTTACCTTATTATCTGTGAGAGTCTTGCTGACAGACACAAACTGACAGGCAGCTCTCAGCTGGTGTACATGTTTACGACTCAGGAAATAATTGGCAAATTTCATAACTTTATCCTGGAACATAAAACAGAAAATCTTTTAATTCCTGTGATTTTTTTTTTTATCTTGAGCTACAATGACCAGAAGTAAATTTATCCATATATAAATACAGTACTATATCTTAACTCCATGCTGGTGTATTTGACTAGCAGTACAATAGTGACAGTTTACAAAAAGTGCCACATTCTTTCATGCAAATATTCATTTCCAGATATTTTTCATTAAAAATGACTGTAAAAGATCACTCTTTCTATATCAGGTAAGTCTCAATAAGTTTCTCATATACATTAACTTAATCACAATATATACCCTGCATGGTCTCTCTACCCTGCCATTGTCACATAGTGACTACAGGAAGTTGATGGAATATACAGGACCTTGCCCACACCCTACTAAGGCCGGGGGGCTCTCAGTAGGGGGACAGAGTTTTTCTCCAATGTGGTGGAAAGGGAATATACCTCAAGACCCCATAGGGACATTCAGCTCCCATACGCCACACAGACAGAGCCAGGCCAAATTTGACACAAGGTCAAATAGCCAAGATGTCAACATTGGAAAATGGGCTTACTTGTTCTCCTTCCTTGTTAATCATTTTTATAATGGATTACATTCTTATCTATCATAAAGCAACCATCCATTATGTTCCGTTTCTTTACGGATGATAAGGTTACACAAAGTTAGAAGCTATGTCAAAATTCATAGACTCACAGCTGATAGAGTTGGTGCTTTCTTTGCTTTCTCGGCTAATTTATAAGCCCCGTCTATGATCAAAGATGTTACATACAATCCTCCTTCAAACTGAAACAAAAATAAAAAGAGTTTCAAACATTTAAAAGAACCATCAACTGTAACATTCCAACCCTAGAATCTCTATAATTTGATATTACCAAAAAAGGAAACACTTTATTCATAAATGTACCCTGCATGGTCTCTCTACCCTGCCATTGTCACATAGTGACTACAGGAAGTTGATGGAATATACAGGGCCTCGTCCACACCCTACTAAGGCCGGGGGGCTCTCAGTTGGGGGACAGAGTTTCTCTCCAATGTGGTGGAAAGGGAATATACCTCAAGTCCCCATAGGGACATTCAGCTCCCATACGCCACACAGACAGAGCCAGGCCAAATCTGACACAAGGTCAAATAGCCAAGATGTCAACATTGGACTGAGTACACTCATAGTTTTGACAAATTTGAACATTTTGAGCCTCAAATCAACAGATACGAGGTACAACTCAGCATGATTATGAATTCTTCAAATTTCAGTTACTTTTTGAAGGATCTACATAAAATGGTTTGGCTCAACCTTACATCTCTATTAGGTATAATTTTGACATGAAAACCAAACCTTGTAAGAATGTTACTTAACACTGTAAGATAAAATGGTTTACTGACCTGTAAGTATTTGTCATCTACTTCATCTGCTTGTGCAATAATATCTTCAATACTGTCAAACATCTTATTTTCATTTGGTAGCTCAGCTGCTACTAAAAATGCATAACCATAACTGCAAAGAAAAAAATCTTAAGAATTTATTTCATACTTTTATTATTATTCAACTTTCATCTTTAAAGCAATGGTTCATCAAACCTCAAGAAGTTCATTACTTCCTCTAAACAATGAATGATACAAAGGTATTTCAATAAAAGGTAATTACAACCAGACCAAAATTACTTACTGCATGGTTCAGTGAAGTATTATCTGCCTCAGTAAATCGCTTATTTTCAGGTATGCCTAGCCATTTATTCATACCTAAGCATATGGATTATTCATATCCGAGACATCAGTACTTAATTATCAAGTGGATTATCTCTTCCATGTAACAGCTGATCTATCTATGCTCCATAATGACCCACATATCAATCAGCAGTTTCAAAGATCAATACAATATCATAATCTTACTCTGCACTAGCTACTGCTTTCAATGGCTGTTCATGTAAACTTTAAAATGTAAATTTCAATTTTAAAGTAGTTTTAATGAAAGATGATCTACTCCATTACAGAGAAAAAGCAATCATCTTCACATTTCAGAAGTAGATTTACCTTAATGGTGTATCATCTTTTTTCACAGCTTCTGTTAAAGCTGTACCAACTTTGGCATTGTCAACTGTAAAAATAAAAGATAGAAAATTAATCACTTCACTTAAATGACCACTAAAACATTAAACTTGTCACATCATATAAGGAACTCTAAAAAGCCATGTAAAGTTTTAAAATGCTATATGAATTAAATTTTTGACGATAATCTCTGTATTCCAAATTTCAGATTCTAATAACTGTCATTTATGTGTACCCTGCATGGTCTCTCTACCCTGCCATTGTCACATAGTGACTACAAGAAGTTGATGGAATATACAGGGCCTCGTCCACACCCTACTAAGGCCGGGGGGCTCTCAGTGGGGGACAGAGTTTCTCTCCAATGTGGTGGAAAGGGAATATACCTCAAGTCCCCATAGGGACATTCAGCTCCCATACGCCACACAGACAGAGCCAGGCCAAATTTGACACAAGGTCAAATAGCCTAGATGTCAACATTGGAAATTGTGCATATCAATTGAAATATCTAGGAAAAAGGTAGTTAGCAACAAATGTTACCTAAAATTATTAGGTGATTTTAGAATTATTTAGAATCAAATATCTTGGATTATGTAGGTCATAGAATCGTATAACTAGAAATATCCAGGTCATATCTAATATCTTGTGTATCTAGGTCATAGAATTATTAACATACCTTTAAGCCCCAAGTTTTTAAGGGCAAAAAAAGCTTGGAAAATATCCACAACTGGAGCAGTGTCCTTGATGGCTTCTCCGAGGAGGGCTTCTGCCCCAGCAGCTGTCACCTATATAGGAAGAAAATAACACGAGTTTTTCTCCTGCAATACACCTAGTAGGGCAAACTTATTCCTAATGGCTCAAAATCAATGTGGGCTTATAAAAGGAAAATGATGATAATGGCTTAAAATTTATCACCAGGTTTTATGCAAATGTTTATATACGTTGCAACTGTAACAGAAACCAACTATCAATTCAATGCTCCTGTCAATTTTCTGACATTTATAAAGGTCACATTCATACTTTTGTTATCTTGTCTCTAATAAATTAAATCATGTGTATAAAGACTACTTATCAACTTGTTCCTATTCATACCAAATATGTAGCTCACAGACTAATGGTGAAAATGATTAATGAAAACTCTTAAGGACTTTTGGACACTTCACAGTTGATTGGCAAAGGTGACATCTAAGGTCGCTATTCATTGAGAATTCAGGTTTAAAATATATTCCTGACAAGTTATGCTAGCTCATTACAATTACATTATCTGATGAGGCCATCCCAGATGCACAAATATACTTTAGCACTGAAACTTGAATTTTTGAAATATTAAGAGTTTTATTCAAAAATATGTAGACAAATGCCCAAATCATCTATGTACAAACAAAGAAAAAAGGATTTTCAAAGTGATGCAATTTATAGTTTGAAACAATCATTTCTATACAAGAATGTTGTAACACCAAACAACCTAAACTTTATGGTTTAATAGTATTTTGCAGTTTATTGTTAAGGGGACAGAATCAGAGAATGTTGCAGGAGGTAGTATACACAGCCTGTATCCATGTTAAAGGTCACAGACCCTGGCACAACATGCATTTAATGTTTCCCATGTGTATAACTATAATCACCATTGATAGGTGATACAGCAAAGTTATGGGACAGTGATGAACTGTTATCAATCAACACCAAAATAAAAATTTGCATGCATGGTTTATTATGAATTGAATTCCCAAACATCAATATACCAAAGAAAGGAGAATGGCTTTAATTTGTCAAAATTTACATCTTGAAACTAAGACTGCAATACAAGAACGTTGTAACACCAAACAACCTAAACTTTATGGTTCAATAGTATTTTCCAGTTTATTGTTAAGGGAACTGACTCAGAGAATGTTGCAGGAGGTAGTATACACAGCCTGTATCCATGTTAAAGGTCACAGACCCTGGCACAACATGCATTTAATGTTCCCCGTCTGAATAACTATATTCACCATACATAGGCGATACAGCAAAGTTACGGGGCACTAAATGTTTAAGTTAATTGTATTGGAAGAGGAAAAAAATCAGTGGCCTTAAATAATGGCTTTAGACTATTATACAATGTAATTATTATGTGGAATCATCACAAACTATCTTAATGGACTGAACCATTTTCTATATATTTTTTGTTTTGGTTCAATTTCTTCAAGTAATGACTCAAGAGGAAAAGCTGGTGCCTACCTAATTGAACAACATACAAGAGGCATGTTTCATGCCATCAAGAGCAATTGAGATAAAGTGGTTTGGCCAAGCACACAACCACGACTATCAAAGTCTAATATTGTACAGACTGAGCTTATACAGCCTTAACAGAAAAGACTACATGGCAGAGATAGAAAATGTTTGGTCTCAAGAAGAGTCATGTTTAGAGAAATGTTAAACACTAGAAAGTTTATTTTTCTCAAAGTCAATGTAATAATTACTTTGAAATTTGAAGGTTAAACATTTGATATATATGAATCTGCCAGACCTAATTTACACCTTCTTAAATCTAAAACTTTTTTTCTCGTCTAGATCTGGTCAACCAAAAATCTAGGTGTCAGTAAGTAATGGTAATAAAACTAAGTGATTCAGAATGGTTGACACACAAAAAGTTATTTAAAATTTTGTCATTTAAAACAGAAAAAATTATTTATCAACTGAACCTAGATGGTCTTAATTTTTTTTTCATCAATAAACATTCTTAAGAACTCATTTGTTAATACTTTACAATTATTATGCTGACAGTGTCACAGAATTTATACGATCACCATCCAATATAACAGAAGGTGATCCTGCCATCTGCTTTTATCTTCCCTGTGCGTGAAAAACGGCATCCATGATACATACAAGCATCAAGAATGAGACCACAGGGAGAAAACAACACATACAAATTGGAAAATTGGTTTACCTATTTGTACATTACAAAAGAAACTGTCAAAAACAAAACCAACAACAGTATATGAACTACAGTAACTGGATTTCTTAAGCTGTAGTTTTGAAGAGTTCAAAACAGATTACCGGTATATCACTATTTCTTACAACAGACACAACCAGGCAATGTTATGTACAAATATCACACCAGTGTGTCTTTAATCCTACAACATCTTTAACATGAGCAAATTACATGACAGAACAAAAATAGTTCTAAATAAAGAAATTTAAGACAAATACTGGATCTGACAAGCAGAGAAAAATTTGTATTTCATATTTTTTTTTAATTCACAGCAATTAAAGTTATCACATACATGGCACTATATGGGTACTTATAAGTTATTGTTGCAGAATTTATACGATCATCATCCAATAAACTAGATGGTGATCCTGCCATCTGCTTTTATCTTCCCTGTGCGTGAAAAACGGCATCCATGATACATATAAGCATCAAGAATGAAACCATGGGGAAAAACTGATATATTGTCTTAAAAGTTCAAATTGTCAAAGGAAAAGTTACCAAAAATGCAAAAGTTCTCAAAAAATTCTACATAAGTACAATAACTGAAGTAATTTGATATCAAAAGCCCCTACATTTAAGGAGACAAATAATACCCCATTACATAAATGTCATTCATAATTACAATTACCAGACACAAATGAAACTCATCAAAATTGATTTCTTAGCAGCTAAGACTGCAGGATAAGCTTGTTGTTTAATTTTGATGCTAATTATATTTTCCACAAAAAGGTAACCAAGCAATGCTACATATTTCAAATCATGTTCAATCACACAAATGTGATAACTCCTATATCATTTATAATGCAACCTTTATAAGATGAGACAAGCAGAGACATATGTAGAGCCTATATAATACTACTTTTTGAAATATTAAAAAAATGAAGCAAAGAAAAATACACTCTGCATGATTCACTGAACACTTGGAATTCTACAAGTAACTTTATAAAAACAAATATTGGATCCAACCAGCAAGGAAAATATTGGAAAGCTGATGTCATAACAAAGGTATAATTCACTAGATATTTGTTTTTCAAGTAACCATCTGTGTATATTACCAGGCCAGAGATATGGAATGTTAATCAAAGCTTTGTTGCAGAATTCATACGATCATCATCCAATAAAATAGATAGTGATCCTGCCATCTGCATTTATCTTCCCCGAGTGTGATAACAGCATTCCTGACACATAGCGGCACCAGGAATGAGACCACGGGGAGTTTATTGCAACAAGATATGTCATGAGAATGTCATTATCATATCTCAACCTATATTTATCGATATGGTTTTGAGCCTTGCATTACTCAAAGGCTTGAGGTTTTATTTTGTTGTAAATCCATAGAATTCATAATTTACATAGAAAAAATTGACAGGAGTCTTTCTTATTTTGGAATTTTCGGGTCAAATAGATACTTAACTGCAATGACACTTAAGTATGGCCTCATTTTCAATGATGCAGAATCTGTTACATTTCCACCAAGATAGTAATCATCACCTTGAGTAGGATAATAACATTTATTTCCTCCTACAAATTTGCAGTGTTCATTGTTCCTTATATTCATTGCAATAACACTGTAGATCTAAGTACACTGGAAGAGGATGGGCTCTGTCACTAATATTTACCTTGCAGTTGCCCAAGGCAGCTGCTGCAGCAGATGCATGGTACAGAGACGCCACATCATCTGGCCGGACCAAGGAGGTGACAGTTTTGCAGGTCTCCTGCAACAAAAATGAAATATTTAATTCTGCATACTCTTTATGGGGCAAATTGTACTTAAAAAAAAAAGGAATATGTATATAGTTTTCTAAAGACCTTGCCGTTCAGTGCCAAATCAATTACTTTACCATATATGACAACCAATCCAATTACTTTCCATTAATGTCATTAAATGTAAAATATATTCCTGATATTAGATGTTAAATATTACATTTAGTTTCCTACAACACTTCTTTTTTTAAAAAACTGATAACAGTATTTGGCACAATTTTGGTAAAATGAAAACCTTTGCATTTGCAACAGGAGATCCCAGCAGCTTCAGCCCAAGGATGGAGTAATGGGCACTAGCTGCATCTGTGTATGGCTGTGCAGCCTTGAACACATTTGTAAGCCTCTTCTGGTCAACCGTGGTCAGGAATGTTGAAGGTGTCAATGCCTGGCCGACAATAGCCACGGCAAATAAATACAGTATTGACGTTGCTAAATAAAATAAAAGTAAAGTATTAATATTTACACAAGGAAATATAACAGTATTTTTTCAATGTCCAATCAACTGTTTCATTTTTAAAATGGTTGGTAAAGATCCTTATTCCCGTGCAGGAAACCCGACTTTTGCAGCAAGGTATATACCTCGCTATTTTAATCATTATCTTATAATTTTCTACAATATCAACCTTAAAACTTGCTTCAAATATGCATTCTTCATACTGATTGAGCTTGAGATATTGATAACGATTCATAGAGAAATTCATTTTGGAATAGCGGTGATATTTTTGTTGCGTTGCCGTCGGGCATGGCACCTCCTTTTTCCAACCGGTTCTGCACTGGTTATGTAAATGAAATATCCCCCATTTGCCACATATTAATGTGATATACACGTGATTAAAAAAAACAATGCACGAGTTATGTCTTACAGCCGAAAAAGATTGCAACGTATCAGAACCATTCACTATGTAACACGTGGCAATGTAGAATAATGGCGGCCTACCGCGCCGGCATAATCCTTCTGCATTACCCGATTTTGTTGAAAATAAACATTGTTCCAAATGCAATTTACGATATATTTGAAAATAATGTTCAAAGTATCAGATTGCTTTCAAACTAGAGGTCGCCTTTTCAGTAATTTGTGGTAACATCCACGAAATCGTAAGCAATGTCTTACCTCCTGCCATCTTGCAAGGTGGCGTCTACGTTCGGAATAACTCTAGACATATGCACATAGCTAACGGACAGCGCCCCCTGGTGCATATTTAAGTGAGCACTTGCTGGATACGAATTGACAACGGCTTCCACGTTCATTAAGGACACAAATTAAATTCACTTTAATTTTTTCCTCATTTTTACCCATATCACGAAATGGCATCTGCTGTCAATGGTCGTCATTCCGTTATAGTGTTTTGCATAACCAACACAAGACCTCGATTCGGCTGATATCACAAAAGACGTTCTTGCTTCTTTTCTTTTCAATATGTTTGAAAATTGCATTACATTATTGTATACTTAAGAACGTGCACACTGATGAATCCTTTTGCAGAAAACCTGGCTGGTTTGTAGAAGCGTTCGAGGTTTTCGCAATCTTGGAATAGGCGTACCAAAATGTACGATAAGTTCATTTTCTACAGTGAATGGGTGATTTTGTTAAAAAAAAATGAAAACGTGTTCCTTAGTCTTTTTCTCTTTGCATGAATTTCGTTATACTCGTGACAAGACAAGTATTCAACTGCAATACTACGGAGTGCTAGTGAATGCAGAGATACATATTATCAACTTAACATAGTAAACAAGGTAGTGGCTCCCCCAACTATACATTTGACCATTCATAATATTTTAGAAAAGGATAGCGCGAAATTTCTATGGAATTCCTAATCGAGACAATATCATTACAACCGGACAAAATAAGTGGAAAACATTATTTCATTATGAAAGTGATAGCGAATACAAAATGGCCGACAGGAAAAATGGGATATTGTTTAATGAGGTGAGACAATTGTGTGCTGGAATTGTTGTATAATAGGACCGTCTGAGAGTGAGAGGTTGATGACTATAAAGGATTAGTACCTTTCAATAAAGTGTTGTCGTCATCATGAATTTGAGGAAACGAGCATCCAATTTGACGCCCGTAATATGTTTGTTTTGTTGTAATTGACCTAGATATCATTTTAGAGTCTGACCCTGTCGCTTCCTACTTGAATTGATCAAGATTACAAGATGTCGTGGATGAAGCATAAGACGCTTTCTATTCCGGAACACTTGGCATTTTTCTTATTGTACGTATCCAAGGATCTCCGTGGTTCATATGCCCATGCCCATGTGTCACAGACAAATATACAATATATTGATTGTCTTAACAAGTTTATTATTAATTCATCTAAACGAGACGGATTGGGGGGGGGGGGGGGGGCTTATTGAGATAATTGAGTTTTTTTCCTTTTTCTTGTAAGCTTTGAAGTGTAACAATGAACAAAGGACACTCTAACAACTTAGTGAAGTTTTCTTATGTTTAATATATTCCAAAATGTATGTATAGCACTATTAAAAATGATATATTACCTATAAAACACAAAAGACATTCACGAATTCTGTACGTTAATGAAAAATACACAGTTGTCTCCATTCAATAAATATTTCTCATACTAAATGTCTATAATCATGAATAGTTTGTAAAATACACGATATACGTACATTATTGTATGTGATAAATATTATAAACGGAAATATTTGATACGAATACGTTTCATACATATTACCAAGGCAACTATAACAGTTTTAACTAATTTTGATAAATACTGCGTTCCCTCTATTCAATTACTCTCTGCAAAAATACACTTCATTATTTCTTTTCATTTATTCGTTTACATAACAATCATCTTCAGAACCCCACAAGACTCTGCTTGTTTATTTGACAAAAACAGGAGCAAAGTCTTTCGTGAGGTTCTGTCTATGAAAAACCCCAAACAAACACTGTGATAGGTATCTAGAAGAACATAATGGGGAAATTAGCAAATTGCTGTGAAAAATATTGAACAAAATAAACACATTTAGTGATGCGAAACGAGAATGCGCACTATAGATTAATGCTTGTCAAGTTTCACACAGCATACTTCATACCATAGAGACGAAATTGACATGCAATATGATTGTTCTATAGAATATGAATAGGCCGATATGAACTCATTTCTAACTCATCAGAGTCCTTGTAGATCAATTTTCAATCAATTCCACCAAAAAGGAGCAAAAAGGACTTTCAATAAAAAGTAAGGGTGGGGGGGGGGGGGGGGCGTGTCTAGAACAACTCTAAAAATGATGACCTCTTTCATATGAAGGGAGATGTATCGTTGCATGTCGTTATTGTTTAAATTTCATAAGTTTGCCTATTGTTGTAAGCGGTATCGATACTGAAGAAAACGCGAGTAGCCTCCCTTCGGCAGTCACCTTCGGGAGTGTACAAACATGAGACACTCAAGTAAATAGCACCTTTCAATACAAATTCAGAATTAGATACAACACATAAAATGAATTAAGCTGTATAATATAGCTAACTCGCCACTCGACAAATGTCTGGAACCAAAAATCTTCTGAACATCGAGTTTCCCCGACGACGGTACTATTTGAACGATGTCTATCAATGTAAACAATGCTTATTTCGATATCTCTTTCGACTTCACGGCTCATCAATTTCTTTCGAGGCATTACTAAAATCTTTCGACATATCAACACACAGATATCATTCGACATATCGACATATCAATAACCTTCGACATATAGACATGTCAATATATGACATATCGGCATACAAATCACTTTCAACTTATCGACACACACACACACATCTTTCTGTATCGATATTCATATATATATTTGAAAAACGCAGTAATTACCTTACGATGTTAGCAGGGAACAAACGCCATAAAATTGTTAGGTCCAAACGCAGTACTACAAGTATATCGTTCAAACATGCTCTCTATATTATGACGTTCGTTCCCAATCACCGTACGATTATGAAGGAAGACAGAATTCACAATCTGTGGTGTTGATTGAAGGCGATTCTGAATTCTTAGGCAATTATACTAGTTTTGCATTGGTACAAACCTGCATGCAACACCTCTAATGTAACACAATATCATTATATTAGGACACATCGTATAAGTCCAGTATTTCAAATTGTTATACACATCCTACATCATTCTTTTGTCTGTGTAATTTGCTGACTCTCAGCTTCTGAAGCCTTAAGTTCATATTCTGGAGTCCGCACATTTTCAAATACGTCCTCCTCTCCGGCGAAAGCTTTCACAAACTCTGAAACGAAAGAAAAGTATGGATTTTACAATGTCCAAATACCTGTGGCAACACGATATCAAATGCTTTTGAATTCCGTGTCATTTTATCATGTCGTAATCTAATACTTGAGGAATTTATATCAGCAGAATTATATTAGTAATAAAATACAAGATTCCTGTCTTTATTACGTTATTGTGGAAATTTTAATATACAATCAGACATATTTACTGTAACATGTTTGTTAACGACACAAACAAAATAAACAACAAACAAAATAATATCGACAAGTCAACAAAAGCTGAATTCAAACTCAAAGTCAATAAAATTTCAAAATGAATGTTTAATTTCCTAGTGTACTATAGCAAGTCTTTTTTCTAAAAGACACTTCACCCCAAACACTAAATTAACCAGAATTAGAACTTCCGATAAGGTAAAACAGCAGCATTATCACACCATCAGGACGAAGGATATTTTCATTTAATGTATATTGTAATTATTGAATAATTAAATTTCTCATCGCAAGCATTTTTTTTTTCAGGAAACTGTCTGGAGAATCAATAAGATATTTAAATATATAACTATTTCTGTGTTAATGAGATTTCTACTCTACCTATAGACCTAAGTACGTATGATAACGACCAGGTGATTGATAACTTGTTTTTCTATCTGTGTGGTTACCTGTATATCCACATTATATTTGACGTTTTGCCAATAGAAATAGCAATAATCGTATCAGTGTAATAAAATTAGAAAAAATACTGATTGATTTCACGATAAATCAGTGATTTTCAATTTCAAAATGATATTTATCGAATATCCCTTGTATCACGTTGATCGTTTGTTACCTGTTAAGGTACTTTAGGCAATATTGATATATATGTAGTTTAAACTGAATCATTGCCAAAATAATAAAGTTCTACTAAGCTCTCAGTGTTGATATTTTTTTAAATCGGCGATTTTTCAATAATCGATATTTGAATATAGTTTGTTTAAGTATCATTATTTCAATCATTGAGTTGTATACCTATGGTCACCTTAGCAATACAGGTATCATGAACAGAGTTATTTCAACAATTTTAATTTGTTGTAGTGTAATGAGAGTTCGTTAAGGCGAATATTGCATAGTTTCGAGGATTGATATAAAACAAAACAAAAAGAAATCTTGAAAATAAAAAATGTTTTTAAAAAAATATGATAATTTCACGACTTTCGCAAATAATAAATTCCATTTGCAAAAAAACTTTCTGTTAATAAAACCTATTACGGTAAATCAAAGATATTCGAGTCAGCTGGCCGTCAAAAGGATCGATTTTTGAGAAAATAAATACTGGTCAGTCCGTGCAAGCAAAGTTGTATTACTGACAAATCTAAGTTAAATTTTAATCATTTTTGTAGTAACTAGACTTAACTGTACAGGACGTTAAACATAATCATAAAAGACAAGCCACTTTTGTCTGTCTGTCAAAATGCAGTTTATATTTTAAGACACTGACCATATACTCTATTTATCTTGCAATATTAACTGAAAATCAGGCCATTAACATTTCAACATGTCTTTGGTTCAATTTTGTTAAACCGAGTTTGTTTTTGCCTGATAAAGAGAATAATAATAATACAGCGGTTTTCCGTCAATGCCGAATACAGCAAAATATATATGTGGCAAGTGTATTCTGAGAATGGCAGGGCTAGTTGCAGGATAAACAAGAATATCACGTGACATTCACAATGTTATACTTACCTTCAAATTCAATCCTGCCGTTTTTATCTGTATCTACTGCTTGGAAGAACATGTCGATTTCCTCCTTGCTAAATTTTTCACCGACCTCCAATTTACAAGCGGAATTAAGAACCGCGGTGAATTGTTTTTTATCTAGGTAACCTCTACGGTGCCGATCAACTTTCTTAAATGCTTCAACAACTTTCGCGCGCTCTTCTTCCTGGTCAACTTTCCTCATTAAAATCTTGAACTCATTAAAATCAACTGAGCCCGATTCTGTAAAACAATGGAAGTTTCTGTAAGTAATCAAATATTTAAAACACGTACGAATAACTTCAAAGTAATAACGACCAGACAAGATTATCATCATTAAGAGAATGCCATGAAGAGAGAATGACCCAACGTCTCAAGGTAGACATAACAAACGAAAAAAAAAATATCCCGAAATATTGATAATTATTCATCGCATCACTAATCTGTTAAAACCACATATGTAATAAGACCTTGTGCAATTGTGATTGGCTCAAGGTTTTCATTCTTTCAATGCTGATGTCATATATATATTACAATAAGATTAATGAAAGGGATGTGGAATGAGAATATTGTCAGTTACTAATTCTATTATTTCTTTATTATTATCTTTTTAAAGAAATACAAACAACAATTAAAAGTTGTGTTTTAGAACTTTCAACGAAGTTTGTTTCCCTTGTAAAAACGGAAAGTGCACATTACTTAAGCTTTGATAAGATTACTATAAGGCAATGGACAGAAAAATCACCTGTCAAGACATGATGACTTATTGGAGAAAATAACAGTCATCTGTTTGACAAAGGACATTTTCGGAAACTCGCAAGCACAATTTCCAAAAACGTATTAATACCGAACTGGTAAATGTATCTTAACGAATATCAAAACGCTATTTGCAGGAATGCCTGCACAATATCATAATTAGGTGATAAACAAAACGTCAAGATTTTTCCTTGTAAATCAGATGAGGCTCTGTAAAACGAAACATTTGGAGTCCCGTAGATATATGATCATTTATTCAAAGATTGAGATATTAAATATGAAAATGAGAAACGATAATACTTCCATTCACCCACAAACAAGTTATAACTAGCGAATTTAAGTGCAGTTTTCTCCCCAATAGTTGAAATATAAGCATGTTTGCTAAATCCTTATTTAGCAAAAAGGAAAGATTAAAAGCATAGATCCCTTAAAAATAACATCCTTTACTGTATACGAGTTTAAACATCAAATATAATTACCATCAAGATCGAGGGCTTTCATCGTCTGTTGTATCTCCTCTTCCGTCGGACACATATTAAACATATTAAAGCCCCTCTTGATTTCACTTTTTGTTATCTGACCATCCTTATCCAGGTCGAAGAGATCAAAGACTCTTCTACATTCTAAAAATAGAAAAGTGACTAAATAACAAACTAGCTTATACTGGGACAATTTTTTGTTTGAATGCTAATTCTTTTTGCGTAAGTGAATGTTGTCATGAATAAAAATATATACAGGTATATATTCCCTTCGGAATATTTCAAACACATTTTTCGACATCGCAAAGGAATTCTAGAAGCGTTGACTGTGTACAAACGACATCTTAACATTTGCCGTCTTAAGACACAATATATTGGGCAGCGTAAATGTCACGTGGAATCCATAACGACCTGATTAGTTGTATTCTGGTTTATGAATAAAATAGTACTTAACTACAGTACAATGTACACAACCCATTGAGTTTAATTCTGTGTATTTGTCTGAATACAAAGGAGTGATGGAAGTTACTTATTGTAAAACATTTAGACCTATTACAATTTCTATGTCTCTTGTCAAGTCTTTTATGCTGTCTCTCTAGACTTTGATGGAAGTGAAATCCAATTCAAAATAAAACAATCTTGTATTTTAGAAAGAGAGATAGGCCCTATAATAAATCATTATAGTGGATAACTACAAGTTCAGTGTCTGTATCATGCACAAAATGCCAATATATTTTTTATACTTTGTAGTTATTGTGTAAACTTCTGGTTAATTTAAACAGAATTAAATAATTTAAACAAATTTCATATCAAGATATATACAGAAAAAAATTCTGACATCCGATATATGAAACAGCTTTAATATACACAGATGTCCAGCTTAATGTAATATTTAGCATCATTTGACATCTGCTATACGAGAGCTTTAATATCTATACACATATAACCAGTATTTTTGGCCAACGGTCTTAAAGTATACATTGTCCTATGTAATATAATACTAACCCCTATTGTTTGATTAATGACGTATTAAGTGACATGATATTGTGCCAGATTTATTGACAATAATCAATTGTAACATGAATATATATATATATATTGTATTCAAACTAACACCTGGACATAAAACTTACAATATATCATTTTATCTTAAAGAATGGTCATCGAAATCGTTTGGACTTTTCAGGAAAATTTTGTACTCCAACACGAGTTTTAATAATGTTTTAATATGAATCGTAAGTCGAATAGCCGAGACAAAGTTAACAATGCTTGATGTTGTACACATCACATTGACAATTCATACACCATTTTATAATTCTTTTCAATTCACATTGTACTCTTGTAATCAATTATGAATTAGCTTTTAGATAATACATTATAATACCATTACATCAACTCTTTTGCCAAAATGTGTCAAAACTTACAACTATATGTTGTACAGGTAAATTCAATACCTCATTGTTTTCATTTAAATCTGACAAAATCTTAGTTGCCCTTTGACCTCATTTTGTGATAATATAGTGAAGGTATGAGAATGTTCCACACAGTCTAATGAAAGTACTGCAGATATGTAGGCAATATATTCACTAACTTGGAATATTGATTGTTATATATAAATAAGTGACACTGACAGATAATGACTTGTCCATAAAACATCGAAGAAAACAACACATTTCAACGAAATCTGAATTCAAACTCAAATCCGATGAGACTATGACTAAAATTTAAACGAAAGTAAAATGCTGGTAATACCACGTGATTAGCGTATCCTGCTTCATCTACAACATTCGCCAAGTAAATGTTGTCAGTTAAAGCATATAGCAACACCACGTTCCAAATAAGAACAATGTAAATAACCGAGAAATCTCCATAACTACTAATGACCACTCTCAGCTTAGTAAAACATAACTAAATAGAATATTAAATCATCTTTTCTTCGATTTAATTTCCTGAATTGACAAATGATAAGTTAATGAACTTCATATCTAAATAATAGAGATTTAAAAATAACTTACTCAATTCAAACTCGTCCATTTCCTGTAATTCATTGTCGTTTGTCGTTTGTTCCCCCTGTAAGATCGGATGCTCCAGGTTATCATTTATGAACAATTCTACAGCGAATAATCACAATTAAATATTCAGTACATGTGATATTACAGATGTATTTCACGAGTGCGACTAATATTTTGTTATTTCACTCATCGTGAGTGTGACTTATAGTTTAATTATTCACGAGTATGGTAAAAATATTCTATATTGCACGAGTGTAACTAATGTTTGTATCCCTTATCACGCGTATGGCTAATATATTGGTATATTTCACGAGCAAACAAACTATTATCAACATGAGTAACATATCGAGCGACATGTAATTGTTTATACTGAAAATAATATTGTTTCTTTCTGTTCGTGCAATTTTGAATTACGCTTTTTGATTGGTCGATTTTACAAGATAAATTGTGTTCTCCGTATTTATTGATGGAATTCTTCTAATCTTTATATATTTCTATGGTTTGCAGTATCTGTACAATGTACCCAAATCTCGTGATAACATAATTTGTAAATATATGAAACATTAACCTTTACACTATATGTAACATTATCTGCATAATGTGATAACATAATTTGTAAATATATGAAACATTAACCTTTACACTATATGTAACATTATCTGCATAATGTATCAACATCTCGTGATAACATAATTTGTAAATATATGAAACATTAACCTTTACACTATATATAACATTATCTGCATAATGTATCAACATCTCGTGATAACATAATTTGTAAATATATGAAACATTAACCTTTACACTATATATAACATTATCTGCATAATGTATCAACATCTCGTGATAATATAATTTTGTTAATATATAATACATTTACCTTGAAACTATATTTATAACATTATCTATATAATGTACCCAAATCTCATGATAACATAATTTTGTTAATGTATAATGTATTGACGTATGGAGGATGTACTTAATTATCTGTGTAATGTACAAAATACAATCACATATTGTTGTAAAAGTATAATATATTAAATTATCTATTGTTACGCTTGTTTCAGGTTATCTGTATGACATGACAAAAATAAAACTCATATTACATTAAGTTGTAATATATCATATAATCGCCTTAATGTACTAATTAATTAGTGATAATCTATGTACCATATTAATTTGTAGAATGTTTATTGAATTATCACTTGGAATTTGCTTTAATATTATATTTCGTACTATGCAAAAATGGATATCAAAACATAATGTATATTTTATAAGTATAGAAATCTTGTGTAAATTAATATTAAGAAAATAGGAAACAATCATAAAAAAAACAAGTACTACGCTAAATTTTTCACATGTTTCTTCTGTATTATTTAATTCTGCTCCTACTGATTTTATATATGTTTAAGCTCTATAACGTGAATATAAGATGAATTTAAAGAGTGTTACTCACCATATTGATTGTATAATGATCCTCGTAATGATACGCACTAACTGTGTCAAGATCGTCTCCGCAAATGAATCGCTTGTTTGGGTATCTACCAAGTGTTCACACAGCCATGGAATTCATTGGAACTATTCTGACGTCATGTTGTTTATAAATATAGATTCAGTGGCTATATTTAGTAACGATCTTTTTGTATCGACACCATAAACTTTAATATAATATATTGTTGATTACATGAAACAAAAGACGTTAAACATATATGGTTCATTGGAGTCATTCGTGTCTCGACAGAAAAGTGCAGCCCGTTGACGTCATAAATATTGAAATCTAACACGGGTCACATGACAAGGTGGTTCCGTTTAGACACAAAGAGTTCAAGGGTTAAATAAATGTCAAAAAACAACTACAGTGCCATTTAAGATTAAATGCCTTCAAAATACAAATGTTGTAAAAAATGTTTTGTTTCACAATATTATCTGCCCTGGAGATCGCATAGGATACCATATCTCCGTAAATGTATTTGGAGACATAGTACTGCTGGTACGGCATGGGTTTGGTGCATCTGTTATTTGCACCAGGTCTTTTCCGGAATATCGCCCCTTTTATTTTTTTATTTTTGACTTACTGTCAACACAGTAAGTTTATGTTAAACGGGACCCATACAAAGAAAATTTTTAAAAACTTTGATAAGCTGTCCAGACATGCACCTAAGCGTCCTTGAACATGCTTTAAATAACAACTACCTGGTATCTGAACAAAACAAAATAGTAATGGATACTGTTGAATCCATGAAGAGACACATATTTTACTGAAGGATAAAGCATACTAGCTTTGTCTACTTTGTCTAGTACATATTATTGTCTGTATCTACCTGTTGTATCACGTTTGTCTTTTGTAAGGTAAAGTCAAATTGAACTAAAAGCGTGAAAATTAATAAACCTCAGAAGAATCCATCACAAATATTTTTCTCTGCTATCTACATATTCCAAATTTAATGGATCTGCGTTAACGTATCTGAACATTTGTGCTTGTTGCATTTTAATGAAAATCAAATTAAATCAACAAGACTATGCAAATATCAATTGCTTCGTGTGTTACGCCCTCTTGCATCGAGTGTTTATGTACAGTGTATTAACATTAGTATTGAAGTATTTTGATACAAAATAAAGCATCAACACCCAATTGCAGCAACAAAAATATGTCTGTGTCAGACAGGGTTACATATGCCATAAATAGTCCATAAAAAATAGTTGAAAATAATAAAGATCCAGAAGACTACAACGTCATTATGGAAAGATCAAATACACCACAACATCATCATAGAAAGATCAAATACTCCTCTACGTCATTATAGATATATCACACACCGCAACGTCATCATACAAATATCAAATACGCCATAACGTCATCATAGAAAGATCAAATACTCATCTACGTCACTATAGATATATCACACACCGCAACGTCATCATACAAAGAGCACATATACAACAACGTCATCATTCAAAGATCACATATACTACAACGTCATCATTCAAAGATCAAATATACGATAATCGATAGAAAAAGGGAACTACATGAGCAGAAGAGGCAGCAAAATTAACGAAACGAAATGTAAGCACCAACACACACCACAGAAAACCTAAACAGGCATTGAAAGATACCAACATGTTATTTCACGTACTCATTATGTATAAATGTATATGTGTGGCATAGGTTTGCTGTTAAATGAAGTAAAATGTTTTATCAGATCGGGACCAAGCTGTCATATTATGCAATCTTTATACCTGGTACGTGGTAATATAACTGTCGTTAAAGGTTATATAGACAGAATTATACAAAATAAGAGATAACCTGATCTCCATAACATTAATAACCTAGATTGATTTGCTGACTCTAGAGTATATGGGCTAGTTTTACAGTAATTTAAGTCTCCAAATCAATTTATTCGGATGTATTCTAAGCACTGCTGGTAAAAGTTTGATCATGGCACATTTTCAAATAGTGGCACGGTGCATAATATACACACATACTTGACGTTCCTCTTAAATAATCAGACACATGGAAATTACGAAATTATTGAAATATGGGGATATTACAACACCACTCTACACTTCTTTCGACAAATTTTAGTTTTCCTTGGTCATCTCCCAGGTTTTCCAGAACAAAGCCTTAAGCATCACTGAAGGATCTTATAATGGCAAAACGGTTGTATCATGCGGCTTAATTCATTATTAGGCTTTACCGTATTTGATTCTCAATCTGTATTGAAATGTATTTAATTTTAATGGAGACAGTATTTGTCTGCTAATGACAAAATTTTCATTTAACAATATGTGTCGCCGCTGTCAATTCCCAGTCATTTAGACAACATTTGTTTATTTATAATTTCTTATGATTGCTTCGCATCTTCGTTATTTAGTCCTTTACTTCGGTCTTTACCCACAAAGACACTGTCTTGCAGGTAGAGCCTAAAGATCGTGCCTGCTGCCCCAAATGAAGGATCGTAAAAGGTGTCTATAATTTAAGGTCTGATCTTTTCTCTTTTTCTCTGAACAACTGTATTTTTTTTCGTGTCACCGTTGAAACTGCTTGACATCTGGTCGTTGGTTCAATGTTTGCAGTTGTGAATAAAGCTTTTGGTTCTGATCGAGACATACCAGAGACTGTAACAACTGATTTGCCAGTTATCAGTATTATGTGATCGGGTTGGCCTGCCGGACGCCTTCGGCAGTATAATTTTTAGTGCTTCATCAAAAAGATTTAAAGGACGATAACGCGCTCAGCACTGGTACTCATCATGCTTACATAGAAGGCAATCCTTAAATGATAATAGGTGTTGACAAGCTGGATGATTTCTACTTATTTGTATTACCCTGTGCGATATGGAATTAGATGTGTTCGATGCTCGGTAATATGGTTATATGGCCCATTTAGGAAAGTAAAGCTATTTGATTTTGATTGACCAGGATCTACATTGCAGATATCTTCGATGAAACAGAGGACGCTAACACTTTCAAAACATTTGGTCTTATTTTCCCTGTTGTTCGCTGGTCTTTTTCTTTCTTTTTCTTTTTTTTTATTAATTAAATCTGTCTTTTGCACTGTCTTTTGCAAATGTTTTGCTTTCGTTTCATCGATTTTGAGTTTGACAGTCGGTTGTTGTCCTTTTAGCATCCTATATTCCTTTTTTCACACAGACTAAATCCAACAAAGCAACATCACATGTAAAGTAGAATGGCTTTTTTTTGGTGATGATTGCTACAGTGTGCTCTAGTTTTATGACATTAATGACACGTGTTGAACATAAAAAAACAATTCTAATAACCAAATTATACTAACGTTATTGTTTCAAATAACAGTAGACAATCAAATCAAACATAATCTTAATGGATTAACATAACAATTCAAACAACAAGATGTGACTTAATGATATACCAAAAAATATATCATATATATATATCAAACAGAATCAGACGAAATGCCTCTGTGTTTCATAGGTGTCAAAAGATCACAGGAATAGCTGTGTTCTGTTCAGCAGTTTGTTTTTTATCTTTCATCGGTTAAATTGT